AAACATCTGAGAAACTTATTCCTCGAAAGATTCAATTCGATACCCAGCGTTCCTGGACCCTCATCTTTGATATTTCAGTCTGGGATGATCGGTCATGTCCTTATTTTTGGAAATGATCATATATTGTTTTGCCGATGGGGAGGGGGTCAATTACCGATATTAACTGTTGATCTCTCGATTTGTATTTCATACGTTTTGAGTTAAGACACTATATAGTAGACAAATTCTTGAAGATTAGCAATTTGATTTACACCCTGGCCAAGTTCATCGATGGGCCAAGTCATTTTCTGGTTACTTTACAGACTTAAAATCGACGCTACTATACGAGACGGAGTTAAGAGTATGTTTTGAACATATTTTGACTAAATAAAACGTTCAGTGTTGGTAGGTGTTCATTACATAGGGGCTAATTTATACAGGAGTCAGTAGAGTATGTGTGGAGGACAGGCTTCCAGTAGAGACAGGTGTCTACTAGAGACAGGTGTCCACTAGAGACAGGTACCGTGTTCACTAGAGAGGTGTTTACTAATACAGGTTTTACTGAATACATGTAGGCCTACGCCTTTTCAGGTTGAGATGGGACAATGTGTGATAGCGGGGAAATTTCTTCAAATAATTTTTTCAGCATATGGCATGGATTATACACCAATAGTTATGTAATCAGTCACACCAAAAGAATATCGGCAAAGGAAAAGCCACTTCCTTTTCGTAAAAATAAAAATAGGTAGAGTCATTGTACATTGTCGAGATATTTGATTTATTCGAGTGATTTTAAGAAAGTTATTATTTCTAAGAAAGGTTTGACTAAAATTACTCGAGGTAAGTTAAGATTTTCCAATGACTTCCGAGATGCCCCATCCCTGATCTTTGACTTTATGGTTTCGATTCGGTCATGTCCTTATCTTTATATGGGATTTCATCTTGATTCGCCGATGGTGGTTCAAAACTGATACTTCTAATCGCTATCATCTTCAGTTTATGTTACTTTTAGAGCCTATTTATTGACTTTCGATGTCTTGCGTCTTATCCCATTTCTTATCCCATCCACGGTGGATTACCTATTAGATTACAAGAGTACAGAGGATAAAGAGGAAATGTGATGATTTATCTTGCAAAATGGGCGCTCCACATTAACAGGTGAGGGGTCCTTGTTGAGGACACCAAACTCAAGCACTTCTTTAGCACTTTTATATTTGGAGTGCTTCAAGTGTTCATTGATTTGTTTAAACATAAAATCCAGTACCCTGAGACCAAGAGACTATCAGGAACAGTGAACCCTCTGACGAGCTAGCATTATAATATTACAGTTTTCTCATAAAATAAACTTTTATTCCAATTTTAGATACAGTTACCCTGCATGCAGAGTCTAGTTAAACTACAGAGAGATAGACGAAGCTATATTTTAAGAAGTGAAGTCAAACGAACGCATTTGGGTAAGATACGTACAAATATATTCTGTTAAATCAATCAATTGTATGGCTGATTTTCATCACATACTGAGCCTGCTGATTGTATGACTAAATAAGAGAATTATTACTTCGTGAAGAATTGTCAACGAAACCCTTTTTAAGAAATGGTATATGACTAAGGTAGCATGTCACAAAAATGGGAATTTATGAATCACAAAAGGGGGAGTTCTGAGATGTACTGCAGAAAAGATATTTTATAAAGATTAAGGAAGGTCGCGTAGAAGAAATAATCTGGTTTCCCCTGTAGGCTACTCCACTCCGTCCACCTTAATCATGTCCCTAAGTTACCTCGCTCTGTCCCCCTAAACTAGGTCCGTAAATTGCCATAGCTTTCCCATGGTAATCACTTGTTAAGTACTTGTAGTGTTTTTGTAGTTTTACATGATAGCAGGTTAAGAACAAGGTGAACCTAACTTGTATCAATCACATACCCTTTGGCACAGAGCTTAGTAATGTATACGCTCTGAGTAGAACAAATAAATATATCTGTCAAAGAAGGGAAATCAAACTTTTAGAACGAGTAATCGTCAAACAGATTACTCCTTCAAAGTACAATATTATATGCCATTTCAAGGAACGTGCTATCGTTAAAGTAGTTGTCACATAGTCATTAGCCACGTGGGCTCACCGTTCGCCACCGTGTGTCTAATTTTGAACATTAATTTTCTAAACAAACAATCAATTTCTATTTGGTGCGATATATATTTGTTTTGCCCACAGTGTATCCATGAAAGTATTCACAAGGTCATTTTCTAGAAGGACACTGAGAGAAGGCTGTGATATCTCACGATGTCACAAGGTAGCGAACGGTGAGTTCACTCGGCCTAAGTGTCGCAGATTCATCACAGATTAAATAATCGCCCCTTGCATGTGTGCTCGTCTTGTACCTTGGATATGAAGACTCACATCGATCCGATAGGGCTCGGACATGCATTAACGACTTTACATTAGAAACAAGAAGTTCGAAAGCTTATTGTTGGTAGTGCCCGGGTGGTCCTTCCTACTTAATGATTGGCAGTTCTGAAATCGTAGGTATACGTACAGGGTGTCAAAAAACAGCGACAATACCCATTGCAGCAAAAACAACTACATGTTACACGATGAGTCAGATATCGCCTTGAAGTATTCTTAAAGTTTAGAGTTTCCTGTGAAATATTAGATTTTAATTTCACAGATTTACAAATTGTAGGTATGACCACCAGTTGTGTGAACATATCAGAATATGTTTGTGTTTCACGGTATTTTGCTTTATGCTTGAACATCAAACTTAAACAACGACATTCTAAAATAAGGTTAAAGACTATTGCGGTAGTTTAGACCTCAAATCTTGAAAATGATACATGATATATTTAATTTGTATTTTGTACATGGAATTGTCTTGTTATTTTGTGACATCCTGTAGAGGTGTGATTCTTTGTGGACGGTTTTAAATGGGAGGAATTGCTCGTGAACATTATTTAAAAAAGTTTTCATTTGGCAGGATTAATGAAGTTTTTTCTCCACCCTACTACAGTACTATATCTAGTATCCATATTGATGGAAGATGGAAACAAAACAAAATTACATATCAATGCTCAGATGTGAATTGTTTCTTTTTTATCCCTGTTATTTCTCCCTCGAGATCATCAAAACCATTGAGAACAAACAATAGGCTATTATTGTATTATATACCGGATTCAATTGATGTATCTAGTAATTATTCTTTTTATAAAAGCCTTCCATATTAAAAACAAGTCCAACACAAGTCAGCATAATATGATACAAAAATCAGATATTTCCAAGCCAATAAGTGCTGAACTGCTAAAGACGGGTTCTTGAGATGAAATATGAAAGCAATCTCATCGAACTAAAATGAATACAACAATAACTATTAATTGCCTTTTATGTGCTCTAGCTTATGAATAATTTAAGCTTTTGAGTGCATATTTTTATAATGTGATACTATCTGAATGTATCAATAAGTTGCTTTGATTTATCAGAGTCAACGTAAACACATTAAGATGGTCCATTATATAGAATCTATAATGCTGGATTTACACTCCCCTCCATAAGTTTGGCAAGCGAATGTTTTAATTGGATATCAAAACCTGTATTGAATGTTTGAATCTTATTTGTGTGTCTTACAATAGTTCTGGAATTTATAACTGTAAAGGATTTTTAAATCACCAAATTTAAATATAAAGAGGCGTTGATGACTGTTCATAAAGGGAACTTCCGACTGCCTAACTAATGGAAGGGGGGTGTATATTGGGTGGGCCGGTGTAAAAGGGTAGGAGGTCCTATCAAATTATGGTCCTACTTTCCATTGATTTATATGGTGACCTAAATACAACTCTTTCCCTTATTATCGTATCCAAAATCAGGGACCCTAATCCCCAGGGGACCATAATTTCTTTTACACCGGTGTAAAAGGGTAGGAGGTTCTATCAAATTATGGTCCTACTCTCCATTGATTTATATGGTGACCTAAATACAACTCTTTCCCTTATCATCTTATACGCAATCAGGGCCAGTAAGGGCCGTTAAGAAAGGGGACCATAATCCCTGGGGGACCATCATTTCTTTCACACCGGCCTAGTGACACGCTTATGAAATGAATAATCGAATATATAAATTATTAATTAATACAGGATAGAGGATGATGTAATTTGGAAAATGGCTGCATTGTGAGTGAACAATACAGATTGCTGAGTATTACATTCTGCGCGCTTAATTTTTATATTGACATCAAAAGTATTTGCTATTTCTACTTAGTGTTAAATATTCACTTTCTATGCCCTTCTATGCTATATTTATTTCTTATCTTCCACAGATCTGTTTGCAGATATAAAATATAGTTAAAGAATATATATTGCTGAGGTGGAAGCAGTGTTGGAAAATGCAAGTACTTAGTGCAAGGGAAATATATTTCAGTAACAAGGGTGTACCAGGCTAATAATCTTTTCAATCTGGAGAGAATGGTTCCAATGAATATCTAAGTACTTTACTAATAGCCTACTGCTTTTATCATGTTTGTCCAACATTTGTATATAATGCTTTTTATGCGGGGTTTTAATTGTTTTTTAGCTATCGCCCTCATATTTTATCATTTATATACCAATATTATACTTATACTTATAGTATAGACCTCGGTAACTTCGGAGGGTGACGAGGGTGACGAAGATCATGGAGGGCAAAATTCAGCAAAAATTCTTATTCAACATCTTTTTGTTTGACAACATTCTGGCATATCTATACCCTTTGCATTCGTTCGATATCATTTCTTAAAAGAGAGCTTCGTCTTACATCTTATAACTGAACTCTGTGCGCAGGGTAGCTTATCTATCTTTGAATTTCCTTTTATAATCACATTTTAGGATTTTTCAGATTACAATATATTTCCTTGGTGACAAAAATACATACGCCAATTCAGAGATTCTGAGAAAAACACATGTCTTTTTTATAACTAAAGGCAATGACTTGAAATATTTACACAACGTAAATGTACTTCAACCGCGACAGAGATATTAAAAGAGAGAAAATTAATCTTACCTATTTTGACGGTATATTTCACTTTTCCTGCCAGAATCTCATCAAATATACCCAAACCCCACAAAATGATCATCCAAATGCCAAAATCCATGATCCTAGGGTTCTCTGTGTGCAATACGCCTGTTGTCAATTGGGAGAATGTTCAAAATTTTGACTTCATTGGCCTAATATATAATGACCTTCTCCTTTTGACAAACATTAATTATTTAAATTACTATTTTGACGATTACTTTTCGCATAAAATATTCTATCGCTTATATCGACTATTACTTCAAATTCTGTCCTGCAGGTTTTGAATTTGTCCAGCCGTTTATTTATTATTCCATTATAGGTATGAAGAGCTGTAAGCCCAAGTTGATAGGACACTCACGAAGTGGCCGAGTTGATAAATTGCGTTAAATGTCCGCAAATGTTAACTTATTGTAATATACCAAAAATCATTAATTCTAATAATCCGTCTACATGGCGAGAGTTCTGTTACTTTGAATTATCCAGTATGATGTACACAGTCTGTAGCTTGTAGTGGAGTAAAATATTAGTATAACATCAATGTTGCTTCGATATCCAATTGATGAAGCGAGATGCAACGTTTGCAATTGCCAGCCTCCAAACGCAGGCTATAGCACTGGCTATGGAGCGTCTTTCGATCCTTCTTTCTTTATTAAACTGGATGTTGTCTGCCCTACATCATTCGACTGACCTAAACTAGGCTTATATCTAAAAATTTGATGTTGTATGACTATTGGTTTAGCGATTTAAATCTATTCTTAAAGATATATTGTTATGACTTCGATATGAATGAAATGTCAATTGATGTTATGGTTCCGGTGTGAAAGGGTAGGAGGTCCTATAGGTCCTATACTATCAAATTATGGCCCTACATTGTTTCTTTTCACGTTAGATCATGGTTTGGGGTAGTTGGGATTGGTTTTCCTTATGATAGATGCACTCTTAATATTTTCTTTTTCTTGCTGTTTTCTGTGACAATTTTTGGACTTGTACAATGCAATGCAGTAAACTACATACTCTCACAAATTGTTGACGCTAATATATTTCGCGTTTTTGCAATTTTGAAATTTCGAGGCTATTATCGATCATGTTGAGTGATTTTTTTATTTTAACGATTATTTTCGCGACTTCACTTCTTTTTTAATGATTAAAATCGTTTAGAACCCGTGACAAAACAGTACCTTCATATCTTTTATCACCCAGCACGAGACGATAAAATTGTAACCATGAACATTTTTATGCACCCCCTCTACAGCCAGTTGGGTAGCATAACTGGGGTATATGTTATTCTTTAATGTATCTGATGTATTGTCAGGTTTGATTCTACACCCCTGATCATTATTACACATACAAATAGCATCGTGTGATAATTTCAGGGAACTTCATTATCAATCAGTTTACCATGTTTATTTAAGACGATGGAAGTAATTAAAAATAATAATCTGGTTAATTATGATAGGCCTGTTTCAACACCAAATGGTGGGATAGTTTCATCAGGGGGTGGAAATAGTTTTATTTGGTAATCTGTAGACGATTTGTAGAATTTCATCAACTGCCAACAACCTCATCACGTTCCCAGTACATCGGGAAAACATTTATAATTTTGAACTGACAGCCATCCATCTAGTTTTTCTCAGTAGAATATAGGGTTAACTAAAGAAATGTTAAAATGTTAATTAATGTTAGAAGCATTAAAGAAATGTTTTAATTTTGAACTCAAATTCTCTGATGAACCCATTCAACCCCACATTTAAAAAAAACAGTTTTTGGTGTCAATTCGTAACAATTGAATGTTTCCCAGATGTTCTAGGAATGTGATTGGCATATTGGCAGATGAGGAAGTACCGAAAAAACGTTTACACACTACCCTACCTCGATAGCGCATGCGCGAATTTTTTGGCTTTCAACCACGTCGCTTTTGAGTATTTCGACTGCTTAGTCAAAAGGTTAATACGTTTGGTGCTCGGAGTGAGTCAATATTTCTATTCGCTGAACTTCAGTGGTGCGATAGTGAAGTCCATGTTCCAAGTTATATGATAGTTGAAGAAAGAATGTAAATAATATCGTTTTAAATTTTAAAATATTTGATATGTCATAGTACACGGTACACAGTTGCAAAAGTTGATCAATACAGGGTACAAGGAATGTAAATTGCTCAATAGTACAGGGAGCGAGAAAGTAAGCTGATTATACAGACATACTATGTCCCGATCTCATGTACGTTGCAAACAGTGAAAATAATGCTAAAAAGGCCGCCTGTTGATGCTTTGAGGTGTCATCAATTGTTATTTAATCCAAATAAAGTAAACATTATTTTGTAGATTTATATAACCCCTTGAATGGTCTAATTCACTATCGTTCTCAAAAACCGATCATTTAAAATATTTTGTTCAAAATACCATCATGCTACGACTTGAGAGCAGTTTGTTCTTCACGATTTGCTGTAGCGCTGATATGACATCGTATTTCTCTATTATTGCAAAGAAACTAATACCAGATCGATGTAGTCTTAGATGACGTGTTGAATGTCAGATGTTTTTGGATGGTATCTGCTCCAGTGATTTTGCATTTAATCATGAAACGCTCATCACAAGACACCTCGAAACAAACATTATCCTGTTTGTGACAAGAGGAAAAATGTTTCACAATATGTTATGCCTTACGGCAAAGTAAAGATACATTTCTGGGACGACGTTTTTTGCATCTTAAGATTTTAGAAAAACAATTAATTCACAAAAATACAGTTAAATAACATACTGGAAAACGTATCCACATATAACACGATGACACGCAGTTTAAATAACAGTTAACTGTTTTTTTTTTGTTACATATCAATGTAACATTTTCGAAGGGAAACTTACATGCTCCCTGTACGTTGATAGGTTTACTGAAATGTATCGTGTATTGCATTGAGTTTTGCTTCACTGCGCCCACTATTATCTATCTTTGCCTATAGTGGTTTTTTGCCAACAATATTCTACAAACTGCTCGATGAATCAATTCTATGTCTGGTAGAATACTAGAAATAAATGTAAAATGTATTTTACGGTCAGAAATATGGAATTAAACCCACGTCCTCTATTTGCAACTTAGCTGTACCCTGTTTCCCTTTTAAACGTGGTCACGTGGTAGGATCGTGTGGTTTACAGTCTACTGAATAAAACTACACATACACGTGTCCGATTCTCGTGTATTCACTGTTGTAATCGACGAAAATACTATACGCGTTTCGACGTTTGGCATACCTTGAATAAGATTTCATTTCATTTACTTATTTCGGTTGAATATTTAGTTCTAAATTATTTATTTTAGCAATTTCTGAATAACATATTTCCGACTCGCAGATTTCATTCATCTTTAAAATCCTATAATTGTAATTACCATTACTGTATGTTCATCCACGAAACAGACTCCCGGCAATGCTAGCAGCTGGGCTTTCCAGAATGTACCCAACAACAAATATTTATAGGTTGTCCTGTTTTGTTTTTAATACGCGCACCTCATCAACTGCAACTATTCAAATCATCTATCTTATTATACACCTGCGTACATTAACGTACGTAGATGCGTCAGAATTCAAAAGTCTGTTCTTCTTCTCTCTAACGATCATAACGATAATATATTATTTTGTAAACAGAATAAAGTGTTGTGCTACTCAATATTTCATCTCTAAACATCCTTGTTGGGTGCATTACTAGAAGATCTTAGAGTCTGAAATATTCTGAAATCATGATATTCTCATTTTAAAGATATATAAAAATAGATTTAAAATAAATACAATAAGCTAAACAAGGCATTAAAATACAACATGTCACCACCTGCCATTTGTTACATTTGATACAGACGCCGGACACAAACCGCCGACTCAACTTTTGTCAATATCATAAAAATAATTGTCATAAAAACAATTGCACCATTTAAGAGTCAAGACCCTTGTATCATTTTGAGATAACATTTCTCCTTTTAATAGGTGAACATCTAAAAGCGAAATCGAATTTCTTAGGTCCATACTGAAAAGGACCAGGTGTAGTATGGCAAGTGATTCTGGACAGTCATATCTTTCACCATGAGTACGTTCTGGCCATAAATACAGTGGTATTTAATTAAAACGATATGTTTTCATTCAAGTGAAGTCCCCGTGATGATAAAAATATTAATCCAACTCTCTAAAAAGTTATGGATTAGGAGCCCACTAGTCACTTTTTTAAAAATGTAAGGCTTATTTTCTTAATGGATATGACCGTCGAAAATCACTTGCCATACTATACCTGGTCCTTTTTACTCAAAATCGTTCTAGGTTTCTCGAATGATATTGACAGAAAAATTCAGTACATATTAAAGCTGAAGATTTTATACAAAGATATTTATTTAGCATTTTATTGAACGTGCACATCCTTCAAGATCGGTCCACAGTGCTTGCTTTTGTCAGAGTATATTGTTCTTCTTTCCTCAATCTCATTCTCCACAGCACCATGGTATTGGCTCGAATTGGGGGTGCCGTTGCAACCAATGCACCCCTCCCCCAACCCTGGATACACCCATGTAATATTAGTAATTTTAATATTAGGTTACATAATAATCTGATGTATTAGCAATGCCATCAATCACGTAATTCGATATTGTTTTAATGTAGTCAAGTGATATTAAAGCATCAACCATTCATCAGTCATCATGTTTCTCCATACCCATAGTACATCAATATTCATATTATGGCCTCTAAACTGTGACCCTAAGCTTTTAACCACAGACATTCTGAGGACTGTGACTTTATAACTTTGACATCAAAATTGTGACCTCAGAATTGTGACATCAGAATTGTGACCTCAGAATTGTGACATCAGGACTGCAAGTCTTCAAAACTGTTTATTCTAATCCATTTTAATATTCATTTATGAGCATTTATTACCCATAACCATGACTAGCATATTCAGTAATTAGATGACATTTACAGAAACATATGCACGGATGTAGCCAGTCATTAGGCAGGTGAAACAAAACTTTACAGAAAAATATGAATTCAGATATTTTTTAATTGAAACCATGAAAATGAAATCTTATGCTAGTATTACTTCCCATTTAACCTCAAAATTGCCTCTTTGCCTCGCCAATTTGAATTTGCCTCAACTATATTTATACCCTGGCCACACCCTTGATTTGTAAATGTAATCATAAAACACTGGATTCTGGTAACTTCATTATTACTTCACGGTCAATTTTAGCTGACTCATCAAGAGTTCTGATTGAAGAAGAGATCTGCACGTTCACTTCCATAAGACGGCTTATAATGTCCGTCAAAGATAACTCAGGCCTTGTGATTGCAACTATACCTAAAATGGAAAAGTTTTGATTAACTTTTATTACAAAAATATAAAGTAATTACGTATAGGTTACGTGAGATTTCAGATTAAAAATGGGTATTTTGGGGTAAGTTTTTGTTCGTCATTTTATATCAATAAAATAAAGATGAAACATGGTGACGGTATGGCAAAACTATTTATTGGTAACCTTAAATGTCATAGTATAAACTCTCAACAAATTGGAAATATTCAAATACATTCTGAAACTTTTACTGAGAAGAATAAAACCCTTATAAACCTTGATTTTTAATTAATAAACATGTAGTTAAAATATAAGGACTTACAAGGCTTTCTCTCAGCCATGTGTTTACAATATATAGTAAGTAAGGACTTACCAGGTTTTCTCTCAGCCATGTGTTTACAATATATAGTAAGGACTTACCAGGTTTTCTATCAGCCATGTGTTTACAATATATAGTAAGTAAGGACTTACCAGGTTTTCTCTCAGCCATGTGTTTACAATATATAGTAAGTAAGGCCTCTGTGTCATCTTCACTTGTTCTTCCAAATATATCTGAGGGCCACATTGATCTGAAATAACATCAAGGTATATATCAACCATGACATGACAAAATCTCACAACTTGGTAAGTTATTGCAGATGGTTAAATGTGTACAATAGGTTACAGTGGGGGTTACAGATGTAGAAGCTGAAGTCAAATCTCAGTCACAAAGATAGGGTGCTATATCGATATGTCTCCACTTTCTGTTGCATTTCGCATTTGGTGACTCACATGGCCATTCCTTATCCTGATTCCTTCATTCCGAAGACAAACCAATGAATGTCAAATTGTAAAATGATATACAAACAATAAAGCCATACAAGGTGTTAACATGTAAAACGTCACCATCCACCATTTGTTACAGACACCAACTGCCATTATTTACAGATGCCAAACACCAACTGCCGAACATCATCCACAAAAAGTTGGAAAACATAACAATTGGTGACAAGTGGTGACATGAAAATCATAAGACACTCTACTAGACCTTGCATTTGGTGTTCATGAGCAACCAATTTGGCCTATCAGTAATGCTTATGTTTATTGTTTTTATGTGAAGGTACTTTCAAAAATATACTAAACAATACAATTAGACAAACCGAATGGCCTATGCATTTCTAGGGGTTAGGTACAGGTATAGTAGAGTGAAGAACTTCATACCTCAAAGTGTGTACAATCTGGATGACTTTGCCAAGTTGTCTATTCTCAATGTACTCAAATTAGAACTTCATACCTCAAAGTGTGAACAATCTGGATGACTTTGCCAAGTTGCCTATTCTCAATGTACTCAAAGAAGAACTTTATACCTCAAAGTGTGAACAATCTGGATGACTTTGCCAAGTTGCCTATTCTCAATGTACTCAAACACTTGCAGCTCTGCCTCCTTTTTGGACAATGCGCTGATGTCAACCATCACGGGCGATGCCTCACCATCAGATTCAGATAAGTGGCGCTGGAGCTCTAAACTCAACATTGTCACATCTGACGAGAGATCTGTTATCTGGAGCAAATAAAATATGATATCAGCTGAATAAATCATTATATGATTGAGGATTACATATAATTCTTTGATATTTGGTATAATGTCGTAAAATGATAAACATGGCTTTAGATTCATTAATATGACTAATGAAATAGAGCTCAGTATACTAAAAAATATTTTGTATCCATTATGTTATATGGGCACTATACATGTACCTACTAAGCTATATGCAAAAGTATCAGTTTACAATTTATGATACCTTGAAGTAAAAATTGACACAACTGACATGATGACATTATATGTCTTGAGAATGTGCATGACACACGCACTTAAAGAGCAAAAAGCTGCCTTGTAAATCACCAAGCTGCTTGCCCAACCAATGAGAGTCATATTCTCTATTACAAAGGCAAAGGATATGGACAAAACATAATACACTATAGTCAGCAATAATTGCCATTTGAACACAGTTCTTAATTGGTGAAACATAAACTTGCTCAGATGATTTATGGACTACCTCAGGTAATGTCAGAGAAACACAATGATGTATCCCTATGTTCACTTGGTGTAATTAATATTATAGAATTACACAAACACATATAAACACTCACACCTGACACCTTGATAACATTATACAGGATTGACCAAAATAAATGAGACCTAAATAATAAAAAATGACAAAAAAATAAAGTCAAAAAACATCTTCTGTAATACAGTGACTTTGAAACTAGAAATGGGTAGTCAGAAAGAGTTTCATATATCCATCTGTAGTTAGCATTAATAGACCAACTAGGATAATGAGAGATTTTCAGAGATTATATACTATATGAGCTTTATGTAATGCACACTAGTATACATGTAGCCCATACTATGGCAGTTATTTGAAGTGTTAACATCAACAATTTAGAAAAGAATAATGTAATTTACACTTTAGTTCAAAATGTTCCTAGTGAGATTAAGGAGGCTACAGATTAAATTAAAACGAAATCTGACATGGGCTACAATCAGACTTGGTGTCATTTTCATGTCATTAATTATCATTTATCGTATAAATTTCTCCGAAACCTACATTAATGGATATATTATGAAATATATGAGACAAGGTAGAGAGGTTGTAATAAGTGGGTCACCAATAATGACCACAAGTCATCTTTCTTCAATTTACAGTGTAATTAATCAAGATAAAATAGTCTTAAGACATAAGGATAAACACCCTGGCAACAAGGATCAAATTTCTGGCAATAAGGAAGCATACCCTAGCAATAAGGATCAAATTGTCAATAAGGATACAAACCCTAGCAACAAGGATCAAAATTCTGGCAATAAGGAGACATACCCAAGCAATAAGGATCAAAGTGGCAATAAGGATACAAACCCTAGAAATAAGGATGAAATCCCTGGCAATACGAGTACAATCCAAGGCAATAAAGATATAATCGTTGGCAATAAGAATACAAGCAAGGTGTTGATTGTTGGGTACATGAAAGGAGGTTCCTCTCTTATGGGGGAGGTGTTTAACCAGAATGCAGCAGCAATGTACTGGTTTGAGCCACTTTTTGGTTTCTATGGAGACCTCTACAACATGGTATACTCAATGGCTCCATGGTTACCAAAACAATACAGAAATGGAACCTTGAGGTAATTAATGTTAAAATTTTATCTTGTCAGATGAACATTTTATATGTATTTAAGATTGTCTGTTCATTGTCCACAGTCCAGTTTTAAGAAAACAATGCAAGTAAAAGTATAGAAACATTAATTCTGTATAAGACAATATTGTTACTGGTAAAAATGTTAAAGGTGTCACTTGTCACCTCTGATTAAAATTGTCTCATCCCATAATATTTACATTTAAAAACCTAGTCTCTAAACCATCTTGCTTCATCAAGCTTCGGACCTATCCTCAATAGAACGTAGTGATTGAGCGTGGGAACGGACGATGTCTCTAAACAAGGCTGTTGTATTTCAAATTTTGTTAGCATTAAAGTAGACAACAGAGCCCTCTTTAGGAGACAATGTGACCAAAAATGATGCTCAATCTAACTGGTCCAACATAAAGTATTTTTATTTGATACTATTATTCCAGGAGCCCGCCATTGGATGAAGAGACTATGATGATGACATTCTTCCGCAACCTTTTCGCTTGTAACCCTTACGAGTTGCCAGTTGAGCTATTATCTTCAATTGATTTTGTGATACCAGTTGATTCAATATCATTTAAACAATACACTAACTGTGTGGAGCGCACATACAACTCAACCATGCATGCCCTATGTAAACAACCCGTTGAAACATGTCATGAGAAATATATGCGTAAATATCTACAAGAATCTTGCAAAACACCCGACATTTTTAACCTAACATTGCACTCACACCGCCAGATACAAATCAGTAAAAATTGTTTAAAAAAGCAAAAACAGGAAATCCAGTCGTGCTTAGGAACTTATGAGAAATCGTGCCAATCTGTGAATATTCTAGCTGCTAAGACGATACGAATGTCAATGAGAATGGTAGAGCCACTACTTCAACAGAGTCCTGATATGAAAATAATTCACTATGTAAGAGACCCGCGGGGAATCCAAGAATCACGAGGGTTGCGACACATGTATGGATTTAGTTTGAATGTTACGGAGTCAGGGAGACATCTATGTAGCCTAATGAGAGATGATATATCCGTTGTCAAGAGATTGAACAGGGAGTACAATGATGCAGTGATTCAGGTATTGCAAAAAGTGTTTATTGTAGAAGGGGTTTAAATGTGAAATTGTGGTCAAATGCAGAAAGGGGATTTATATTTAAGAGGGGGCTAAATGTAGGTTAAGTGTAGAGTGTTTTAAATGCTGGGAGTCAGGTAAAATGTAAAGAGGGGGTCAAATGAATAGGGGGCAGTTTGAGTATAGAAGGGGGTTGAATTGAGGTGTCAAGTGTATATAGTTGGTTTATTGTAGTGGGGGTTAAGGTAAAAATGCTGTTAAATTTGGTATGGATGTTCCCTAAATATTATTGAGTTAATGAATAACACTTCTACTGATTCTATGTTTTCACTGTTACTATGGTAACCCTATGTGACATCTATTCTATTCAATCAATTATCTTACATGAACAGTGCAAATTATGTTTTTGGGTCATATCTGAAAAAAGTGGAGTTTTTTGGCCCACCCTGTATATACATATTGAGAAACTCTCAAACATAACTCAGCAATCTTCTCTCACATCCAGGTTAAATACGAGGACCTGGCTTTGAACAATGAAGACAAGATTCGGAGGATATACAAACACATAGGACAGGACGTTCCCGTGAGTTTACTGAAATGGTTCAAATCAGTTGGACATACCTGTAACAGTAATGTGGAGGACTGCACAAAGGCCAATAGCAGACAAGGAAGGTGGACAGAGAAACTGACTAATACAACTATGAACTTGTTATCAACTTATTGTCAAGATGTTTTACAGTATTTTAAATATGAAGTCGATCTTAATTGAAATATAGATCTATTCCAAAGACAAGGTTTCAGTGCAGAGGGCCACTTGAAAATGTGGCCAATGTGTATTTGGTCTCCTTGCTCTCATCCTAAAATACTCGCAAAATTTTGGCTTGCATCATCAGTGAAAAACTCATCGATTTTGCTGTTACAGTATATGGGGGTGATAAAAATGTGTTGTATTTCTTTAATCAAATACTTTTTATACGCATCTGGTTCTCTCTCCAGTTATGCATCATTCAATTAGCTCAAATCTATTGAAAATGAGTAGACTACGTGTACATGTAAATAGGGGTTTTCGGAAAAGACCGACCCCACCGACCACCGACCGGTCGGTGTTTTCCACTGGTAGCCTCAAAACAGGGTTTGAAGAAAATGTGTAAAAGACCGACCATATCATGTAAAAGACCGAACATATTTGTAGCCTTAGAATATTAATAATTTGATTTTGAATGTCAATCGTTGGACTAGGCAACGTTTTTTACCGATTTTGTACCTTGCAACGAATGGCAAGCAAACAAATTGGTCATGACCGTCTCCTCTCGATTAATTGCCCTGCCTTAGGTCCTAACCTATCATTAACCAACCTATCGTTTCTACGTGAATCTATCCTAATTTTTTACTGAAATTTAACAATTTCGAAACAAAAATGATTTGTTATCGTCATAGCCTACTGAATACTGAACACGATATAATGTTACATGCGTTCTCTTATCGGGATTAAAAGTGACTTACCATTTCAGTACACCATTAGAAAGCTTTTTTTTGTCATATCAAATATAGTTTTTACCAGTTGACGTTTAACAACTGAGAAATCAAACATAACGTTACGACGTCAACATCGACGATGTTTGTGTGTTTTTGTTATTGCGTTTCATATGAATGAAGAATGAACTTAATGCAATGTTACGTGCGTTTTTCCAAAGTGACTAACCAGGATGAAATTGGTCTTCTAACAACTGAAACATCACTTAAAAATATGACATTACACACCACGACGATGTCACGTTTTCATCGTGATTTGAAATGATAATTATACGTTTTTAAATCACGACCTAGTAAAGGTACTATAGTCATTGGATTCCCAGTTTTAGTTTTACTTCTGATTTTGCATTTTTTCATCTTTATGTAAAAGACCGTCAGCCGACCACCGACCACATGTACCCAACTGTGGAGAGTGACTGGTCGGTGGTCGGCGGTCAGTGTTTTACGAAAACCCTGTAAATAGAGTCACTTGCATTCCTAATTTTCACAGGTACCCAAGGACTGACAATTTTATGTCATTCCCAACAATATTCTATTGAATTGCTAGATCCATCACAGTCCATCAATTATGTAAGTTACAGGTTCCTCAAATTTTATTTGTTTATGGAAGTTATTTAGAGATCGAGTCACATTGAATATTTTTGATAATTCATTCTCTTACCTGATCTGGTTTGGCTGTGACCTCTAGCAGTTTCACAAGTTTAGCAAATGACTCGAACAGTAGCAACAGTTGAAACTGCAGCTTATATAGGCATCTACACTGCTCAATTTTCTAAAAAAAAAATAAAAAATCAAATTTCAGAATCTGGAACGATCAGAAAATCTTTTGACTATTTATTCAAACCAGCCTGAAATAAAATATTTTTCAATTGTATAAAGTATAAAATCAAGTGCACAATAGACCCAGAACCCCACTTGTGGTCAGCATGCAAATGAGTAAATATTTCACACTGTTTTAAGTAAAACTTTATTGTGATTAAAACATGCATGATTTTTAGTACAGTAAAACTTGTGGAAGTGGAACACCTTTGATATATATATGTTTAAATAATGTTCCACTTATATAGGTTTATTTTATATAAAGTCAATAGGCATGGTAGTTCAGAGATGTTCCACTTTACAGATTTTTCTGTACCTAGAAAAATGAGCTTATCGAACAATTTATTAGATAAATAAAACGTATAAATTACAAGTCTATTGTTATTGTTTCCATGATGATCTCAGTAATCCTTATGTTATCTCACTCTTATAATCCATGTTATCTTGCCCTTCGTGCTTTCTAGTCATTACTATAGTGATAACATTATATTAAAACATTTATCAAGCCTGTGAGATTGCTTCATTTTGCAATACCAATATTAATATCAGAGGATATTTTCATTAAATAGAAGCATGCAAATTAATTAAATGATTAATAGAACAAGCGTTAGATATTTTTGGTCCCATATTGCGCAATTATGTGTATAAATGTGTACAAATGAAATAAAACAAGTCATCTATAATGTAACAGAGCAAGGTGGAGATACTGGACCAAGAACAACATGGTCCTTAAAGAACATGTACATTTAACTACACTTCTACATTAAAGTTTCAACAAAGGATAAAGCCCAAGGGGACCTAATTCTGACTGTATTCATGTACATGTGTTTCCCATTGGCAATAGTTCAAAGTGGACGTCCACTTTTTCAATTTGAAAGAATTTGAACATGTTTCTATTTTAGGATCAAAAAGGACACAACCACAGGCTGGTATCGAAAGATTTGTCCGCTGTGACGGAGCATGCTATTTTTCATAAAAACACTAAGAATGCTTCACGATTTATTTTTTAACTCATATGTTTCGTTATATCAAAGATAATTACTTACTCCATGCAATGGATATATCATTTGCGTGTAACCTTCACTTCTGTTTGAAGTCCAATAACGCTAGGAGTAAAATCTATTGAAAACGGCGCCAGAGTGGCAAACTCTAAAATGTACCATTTATTTTTTAACTTTTTAATGGCATGATATAGTGACACGATAATATTAACATATGTTTTCAGCATAACTCTGAATGTATTAATGAGATATTAATGCATTGGGTCTTTTTAATTATTTTATAAAAAATAATATTAATATTTTTTGTCCACTGTGACGGAGCATTTTCACAGTTCGTATTTGCAACTGCTCCGTCACAGCGGACAAAAAAATTAAACATTATTTTTTATAAAAGAATTAAAAAGACCAAATACATCTCAACATCTCATTTATACCTTCATAGTTATACTGAAACCATGTGTAAATATTATCGTGTCACTTTATCGTGCCATTAGAAAGTTAAACAAGAAATGGTACATTTTGAAGTATGATACTCCGGTGCCATTTTTCAATAGCTTTTCTTCCCAGCGTAATTGGACTTCAAACAGAAGTGAAAGTTACCCGCAAATGATATATCCATTGCATGGAGTAAGTAATTTTGTATGGTATAACGAAACATATGAGTTAAAAAATAAATCATGAAGTATTCTTAATGTTTTTATGAAAAATAGCATGCTCCGTCACAGCGGACAAATATTTCGATACCAGCCTGTGACAACATTTGCATGTTTATTGAAATAATCATGCTTAATCCTTTGTTGCCACTTTAACTCAAACTTATGACACAACGACATATCAGCCAGTATTACATACCTAGCGAAGCATTTGTATGGAAGTCAATGGAGCGGAAGGTCGGCTATATATTCCTGTATAGCCGCCAAACTTTATTACCATGACAATTTTATGACGTCATAACATACAGACAAAGTTATTTTGACTGGAATCGTGTAAAACTTTGGTCTTTTTTCGCGTATTTCTACATATTATCTTCATGAAATGTTATGTAAATGTACTTTAGGTATGTAATACAACAATTATGTCCGTATCATAGAATATATGCCTTCGGTCTGTCGTAATTAATATAGCCCTCGCAAGCTCGGGCTATATTGATGACAGACCTCAGGCATATATTCAATGATAGGGACATAACTGCTAAAAACATCCATACGAGGGGTGATCATAAAGTCCTCATAATATCTCTGATTTTTTCAACATATTCTTAAATGACACTGAATGTGCAGCAAATTATGACTTAATGATCAAGCAGACAAAAAAGTCTCATGGAAATGTTTCATTAGAAGATTCTGTGAAAAATTCATTAGAATATATTGAAAAATTCTCTATCTAACATTGGACGACAACTGGCTGAATTTGAATTCATCCTAAAGAAATAAATCAACTTATTATAAACACTGTACTGGATTCTATAAAATAATATTTTTATTTACCAAGACTGTACAATAACCTGGCCAATCTACAGATCAAGTCTGTGTTTTAACTTAGCCAAGCTATATAGCTACAGATCAAATCTGCACTATAGCCTAGCCTAGCCAAGCTACAGATCAAATCTGCACTATAACCTAGCCAAGCTACAGATCAAGTCTGTACTAGAGCCTATCCAAGCTACAGATCAAATCTGCACTATAGCCTAGCCAAGCTACAGATCAAATCTGTACTATAACATAGCCAAGCTACAGATCAAGTCTGCATTATACTTAGCCAAGCTACAGATCAAGTCTGTACTATAGCCTAGCCAAGCTACAGATCAAGTCTGTACTAGAGCCTATCCAAACTACAGATCAAATCTGCACTATAGCCTAGCCAAGCTACAGATCAAATCTGCACTATAACTTAGCCAAGCTACAGATCAAGTCTGCACTATAACCTAGCCAAGCTACAGATCAAGTCTGCACTATAACTTAGCCAAGCTACAGTGCAGATCAAATCTGTACTACATGTACCACGTAACCTAGCCAAGTTAAAGATCAAGTCTGTACTATAACCACTTCTTTCCAGATAATGAATGTTTGTATAAAATGCTCAGAAGCCCACAACAATCATTTATCCTTTTTGTACTTTTTGTAAAGTGAAAATACAAAAGGCATTAATAATTCAATGTGTATAAACAAGAAGCTTCAAACTAATGTGCTGAGAAACCAAAATGCTTTAAGGCCTCCCATAACTGACATTAACCCATGCCTCTATTATCACTCATCCTTTTTTCAAAATATAAATGTTGCCAAAAGTGAGTTGATTTTGCTTCATTCATTCTCCAACATTACTAAACACCCTAGGCTATTGTCAATTCAACTACAGTGTCGTGTGATAGTTATTCTCATCTTTGCTCCACAACCACACTTTTCAGGCGCATATCTAAACCTAAAAGCTATTTTCATCCTAACCCAGGCTATGTCGCAGGCGCATGTAAACCATAAGTCTAAAATAAATAACTAAAAACCAGAAGGCCTAAGAACATAAACACTTACATTATACTACAGAGGGAAGAATCCAAAATGGTAGCATAAAAGAGAGTTAAATACAGGTTAGTTACAAAATAGCTACGTATATTAGGTTTTATCCAAACCAACAGATGTCATGGCAAATATACTATAAAATAAGTCAAGCACAGGGTGCGCCACTATTGGTGACCCTGAGGCTCGGAACATGCAGGAAGTTGATTACATCATATGTTGAAAAGTAACACGAGAACTGGACTGTAACTCAATTTTAAACAGTAGGTCTTGAGTCTTTTTATGTATCCGGGAAAACTCAACTCCTACACAACCCATCTTAGGACAACTCAATCTCTGGACGACTCAACCCCTAGACAACTCATCCCTAAACAACTCCCCTAGATAACTCAAACCCTAGACAATTCAACCCCTGGACAACTCATCCCTGGACAACTTAACCCCTGGACAATTCATCCCCTAGTCAACTAAACCCCAGGACAACTCAACCCTTACTACATAATGCTTAAGATCTCAAGGAATATATTTAGAGTTATTTAAAACATCATTATTCATTTTGTTGACAATAAATGGAAGTGCCTCTTTAATCATCCCTTAAACAACTCAACCCCAGGACAACTCGTCCCCTAGACAACTCATCCCTTAGACAACTCAACCCCCTAGATGACTCATCCCTTGGACAACTCAACCCCTGGACAACTCATCCCCTAGACAACTAAACCCAAGGACAACTCAACCCTTACTACATAATGCTTAAGATCTCAAGGAATATATTTAGAGTTAATTAAAACATTATTGTTCATTTTGTTGACAATAAATGGAAGTGCCTCTTTAATCATCCCTTAAACAACTCAACCCCAGGACAACTCGTCCCCTAGACAACTCATCCCTTAGACAACTCAACCCCCTAGATGACTCATCCCTTGGACAACTCAACCCCTGGACAACTCATCCCCTAGACAACTAAACCCAAGGACAACTCAACCCTTACTACATAATGCTTAAGATCTCAAGGAATATATTTAGAGTTAATTAAAACATTGTTGTTCATTTTGTTGACAATAAATGGAAGTGCCTCAAAGCACTGGAAATCCTTGTGTTTGTTTCTTAGGTTTTAGCAAAATAAAAGTCCATATGCAGTGAAACTTTGTCAAACTATTAGTGAATCTCAGCTTTTGGATGTACATTTTATGCGAGTTATCTCATTTATCTTTTCAATGAATGTTGGGAAAAGATCATCCCACAAACATTCTTGAGATTATTTATTTGAGCTATGAACAGCAAATATGTATTTAATAACAAATCAATTGCTTAATTGTGAATATATTGACAATATTTCATTATTATCATTAAACATCTTCAACTTTCAAGTTGTTATAACACACCTTGGATGCAAATGATTATCTTTCTGTCCTGTTTCTGTGTGGTTTGTCATGATGAAGATTTACAGAGAACCAATCAAAAGTGTCCAAATATTTGTTTCACCATCATTCTCTCTTATAAATTCTCATTTTATGGCCCTTAATGGGGTTTCTATTGAAAGATCCCTTGAACTGATGTTTATCTTACATAATCATAACAACATTTAGTGACATGATACCTGATATCTTTACTTTGAGAATACTATTAGCATTTTGTTTTGTTTGCTCAGTAAATGTGGATTCATTCTTAAATTATCAAGTGAAGGGAATAAATTGCGAAGTACTGAAATTAATAACCATGTCTACAGCTTATTCAATCAGTATTGTTTTACTCATGTTTTTCTAATTTTCAAAAAAATACTGACTAAAATATGACACAGATGCCCCCAAAAATTTCAAAATTTAAGTTTCATTCATTTAAAAAGTACGAATTTAAAAAAGTTAAAAGGACTGATCAAATTCATAGCAAAGACATTCTGAAATAATTCAAAAATCAAACATTAATAAATAGATTCATAATATTAAAAAAACTAACAAATGCCAAAGGATCAGATGTCTAGGGGATGAGTTATCCAGGGAATGAATTGTCCAGGGGATGAATTGTCAAGGGGTTGAGATGTCAATAAGCCCTTGTGAAATACCTATTGTTTGTGTGTGACAACAGAATACAAGATCAGATTAATGGAAATTATCATTCTCCAAATTACCTCAATTGCTCTCCATTCATCTTTGCAGATAGTGAATGCAACCTTACCCAAATGGAATAGATGGTGCCACATGATCAGAGCCTTGGGGATTATGGCTCATTTGAGAACATGACTCAAAGGCAGTCATGGTTGAATCAATTGCCCACTTCATTTTCAAATGTATGTTCAAGTGAAGGTTTGGGATCAAAATGAGGATTATAACCTTCATTTTAGGGTGAGAAAAGATATTATTTGTCATGACATCTATTGGTAAAGATAGGACAATTAGAATTCATTTATAAAAATACAAATCTTCAACTGTCTTGTATCATTTAGGTTGATTACAAAGTCATTTGAATATTGCTAGACATATATGTAGATGAGAGTGTGCAGGGCTTAAAGAAATATTTCAGACAAATATGTAAAAATGAATAGGAAGAACCATTTTATTTTATACACTGTACATGTGTGCTGTATCTCAAGATCGTACAAATTATGTTGCCAATTAGATTGATTCTCATATCAAATGGAGGAATTTGTTTAGGAAACCATTTATCTCATCTTTAACAAGTCTTTAAGCCCTCACCATACCAACTTCTCTATGCGTGACCCATAATTTCACTGTTACCCCCCCCCCCCAGCAATGTTCAAATGACCAGTTTATATGCATTCTCTATCAGTATATTAGTACATGTAAGTCGAGTCCAGGAAAAACATACCATATATGGAAATATTCAAATTTTACGAACTGAGAGAAAAATAATTCTTAACTCATCATGGAAAAACATACCATATATGGAAATATTCAAATTTTACGAACTGAGAGAAAAAAATTCTAAACTCATCTTGGAAAAACATACCATATATGGAAATATTCAAATTTTACGATCTGAGAGAAAAATAATTATAGTCATCATGATACTCATTAATCTTAAAATAATATAGAATTTTTAACTATGCACCTGTTCTTCTCCGCAGAAATTGCTGACATTCTGGCCGAGGGATTGAGATTTTACGGATGACTTTATATTCTCCAGACAGTCCATTGCTTGGTCTTTTCTCATCAGGTAGGTATCGTAAGACTCATTGATCTCAAGGACTGCAAATTTGTGATCTCTGAGGATCTGGCAAGACGTAAGCTAAAATGGAAAATTAGCTATTTAAATGTAAATGTTAACATGTATCTTGGGTTGAAAGTATACATGATTTCATTCTAATATTGAGTTTTAATCCTTACTGGTGATAAAAAAGTCATTTCTAATAAGTTCTACATCAGCTCTTAATATAGCTCAATGCACTTGGTGTTCATGTATTCTCCACATATCTCAAAAATCATCTTTACCTTAATGTTACATTTTCCCCTGATGACAACCCCTACCCCCAGGACCCCCCCCCCCTACCCCTAAACTTACTGCTTCAGTATCTGCATACACAAAGGGACACTCTGCCTGTGTGACTAGCAGCTCTAACATGTCCACTTAGGGGAGTTAAGAAGAAATATTTTAGAATGATATAATTTACAACGTAGTCTCAAATATATTATTTCATTGCTGGCCAAAGCTATTTTGGAAATTTTCTGCTGGTGACTGGCCATTTTGATGAAAAATTAAGCAAAATTGCACGTTTTCATATAAGCATAAAATGGACTTATCAACACCCTCTGCGCTATGTTTTATGTCATTGTGAAGCCAATGACAATATATCTCAATTGCACCCAACAATGTTCCCCTGATGGCCCCTACAATATTTGGTAAGATTATTGGTATAGATTGTGTGACAATTATTGTACAGCACCCAGAGATAAACCATGAGTTTTGTCATATATGATTATGACATCATAGACAAAATATCCCAGGGTTGGTCAGCAATGAGTTAAGAACGGTAATTTTAGGTAAATCATAAATTATTTGGTATCATGATATCATTTGATATTTGATATCATTTAAGTAAATTGCCTAATCTAAAAAGTTTTCTTCATAAGTTGTTAAACTGATATATATCAAGGATACATAGCTGGCGTGTGATGGTGCCAAGTGCTTTTGTCTTGGAAAGGAAGTAACACGCCTCCTTGGTGAGAGTCCCCAGCTTCCTCTTGGTGTCCTACAAGGAAGTAATGTAAATTACAGGGTGACCAATGGGGCATACTGAATTGAGATCTACAGGGTGTATCTAAAATTAACTTCTGTTACAACCTGTATAGTCTTTGGTATCCTTAAATGAAGACATAAAGGACCCACGGGCCTGTGCTCACACAGTTTGGAACCTTCAGAGGAATGTATATCCTGACTTTCAAACAAAAATATTGATTTGGATTTGTAGTCTCGAACTTTGAGAAACTTAGATAGCACAGTTGTGTGACCTAGTTTGATGACCTTTGACCTTGAAAATTTGACTTATTCAGAGCCCAGTAAGCATCTTTTTGTGATTAAGCTGACCAAACTTTACATCCAAAAATCAATTTGAAAAATCAACTTTTCTGACCTTTCGAAGGTCACTGAAGGTCTTGTAAAGGTCAAATCCTAAAACTAATGTCAGATTTGAACTCCTGGCAACTTGTAGATGATTTTCAAAAAAAGTTTGGTCAAATTAAAGCAAGTTGAAAAATAACTTATTTTTACTGTTTTTTGACGTCAAATATCTCAAAAAACGGTAAAAATTTGATGCTGACATATAATGAGCAATATGTAGGGAATGCTTAAATCTAGTAATGATGTAATTCAATTGCAAGAAATGATCAAGTATAAGAGAAACATTGAGAAACTTGTCAATCACATAACCTGCCATTGACTTTATACATGAGAAAGTTTCCTGGAAATGAAATTTTATTGAGTAAACACCAAAAACTGTAATTCCAAGAGCTTTGAAATCTTCAGAGGACATAAGTTGCATATACAGCAACTACTACAAGTTATTTGAAAGTTCTACTTCAACAAAGTGTCAAGTATTTACAGAAAACTTAATCATAATACTCAAAATAATTTGTTTGAATGTAAAGATAATTACACTGACTCTAAATATATTTAAAGTATCTTTTTTTATTATTTGCTCTTCCTTACCTTGAATAACTTAGTAAAGAGGCTGAATGTGTTCTCTGCATAAATCCCATTGCTATCTCTCATTATATTCGCAACATGATCGCGCCATTGATCTTCAATATCTTCGCTTTGAAGGTTCAAAAATGCAGTGGCCATATTGGAATAACTCGGTGATGCATTGCTAGGTGACAGATCCGTGAACTCAGCCTCACTGCCAAGACTCTGGACACTATGTCTGAAATACATTAATATAGGAAAACGTTATGTTTAATTGAATGTTTGAAATTGTATCCCTTTACTGGGAAATGAAGTCTTCCATTTGGAGATTCCTTTTTTGCTCTTTTTTTTTCTTGGAGATTGTGACTTATATGCCAACTGTGACTACGACATAATACTGATTCTGACTACTATTTTGCTGGCTCAAACTAGATGTGCTGATTGTGACTTATATGCTGATTGTGACGAATGTGCTGTGATTGTGACTTTTTGGTAATTGTGACTATCACGATGATTGTAAAAGTTGAATATTGCGCTGATTGTGACTATTTATTTTAATAAACAACTTACGATGAGCCTGTCATTGGACTAGAATGCCTCCTACGCCTATCTAGACTTAAACTTGTCTGCATTAGGATAGATCCGCTACTACTGAGGTCTTGTGTTAACACTAGCTCATCAACAGGTGACATGCTCCTCACCTGAATATAACAGTAGAAGTAATATATATATATATATATAATACACTTGTATAATGTATATAGCACTGTATATATTATAGTTCAGTGAAACCTGTATATAGTGAACACCTATGGAACACCACCAAAATGTGTTCACTGTATGAATACTGTTCATTACAGAGGAGATTTTATACAGGAGTCAATGTAAAATGTGTCTTAAAGTGATGTTCACTAAACACAGGTGTTCACTAGAGAGAGGTGTTCACTAAGACAGGTTTTACTGTATATGGCAAAAAGAAGCATTTAATTTGATCTTTAAAATAAATTGGTAACACAGACTACTCACTAAAAATTGAGTGATAGACTGATTTGACTTATCTAGTATTCATACACACACACAATCCCAGGGACACACAATTAGCTTGACTGAGACTTGACTTGAGAGCCTATGTAATAGACTAACCTCATCATCCGATGACTCCTCCTTGACTAGAGTATTTAGACTCTGTGACTGCCTCATTTGTGATTCCTCAGAGTCTAAACTGGTGAGAGACTGGCGTTTTAGACCCCATGCTGCAGCATTCTCACCCTGTAAAATACATGCAGTTAAATTACAAACATTTGTGATTCCTCAGAGTCTAGACTGGTAAAGGCCTGGCGTTTCAGACCCCAAGCTGCAGCATTTTCACCCTGTAAAATACATGCAGTTAAATTACAAACATTTGTGATTCCTCAGAGTCTAGACTGGTGAGAGACTGGCGTTTCAGACCCCATGCTGCAGCATTCTCACCCTGTAAAATACATGCAGTTAAATTACAAACATCTGTGATTCCTCAGAGTCTAGACTAGTGAGAGACTGGCGTTTCAGACCCCATGCTGCTGCATTCTCACCCTGTAAAATACATGTAGTTAAATTACAAACTAGTCTAGACTAGACTTGACGTTTCAGACATTTGTGACTCCTCAGAGTCTGGCATTTCAGACCCAATGCTGCAGCATTCTCACCCTGTAAAATGCATGTTATAAACGCCAGTGTTTCAGTAACTCAAATATATGATCTTATACTTGTTATGAGAGGCTTCAGTTATTTCTCATTAAATTACAGACTTCAGAGTCTCATCATCATGAAATAATCATTGTGTTTAGTTTTTTAAAAACTGACTGATTCTTTCAACTGAAAAGTTTTTAATGTATCAAAATAACTAAATTTACCATAATTAAGAACAAGGCATTAACAAACAAAATGTGAGAACATGCCATTTGATACAGATGTCACCACCGAACACAGTCCACAAAAAAGTTGGAGACTATAAGAATTAACAATATGTCACAACTTCTGTTGTCAAATTGTCACCACATGCCATTTGTTACAGATGCCAAGCACCAGACACCAACCACGGAACACCATATACAAATAAGTTGGCAACTTATTACAACAACATGTCACCACTTCTGGTGGTGACATAAAAAAGACAAGTACAAACCTCTCCTTCTTCAAGTTCAATATCCAAAAAGTCAAACTCCTTGAAAAGTCTGAACTGTTGCTCACTGCTATTGCTGTCTTCTAGCTTCATGTCACCTAAAATGACATAAGAATATCAGATGTGTTTGCTTGAACTCTCGTACCTTACTTTAACAACTGAAAATTCCAATCCACTGAAAACTCAAAGCACTCATGAGGGGCGGATCTGGGAACCAACAAGGGGGGGCCCAAATTTAAGGTCAGAGAAAAAATGTGCGGGAAAAATTTTTGAATTTTAAAACCCAAAAGTGGGCCCAAATTTTTTTTATGTACACAGTTGCCTCATATATTAAACACTATATTTTATCTTTCCTAGAAAATTCATGAAGATTTCATCATGCTTAAAAAAAGTTATGACAAAAGAGGGTTGCATTTTTGTGTCACCCTGTATATTGGAATCTATTGTTGATAGTACCTGGTATTCCTTCTACAAGAGAGGCCTCCTCACTGCTAGCTGACATACTGGGTTGTCTCTCTATAGTATCACTACTCTGACTGAATATAACCTGCAAAAAGAGCATGACAGTAGTGTAAGAGGGTGATCCTCATCCAAGTAGTATATAAAGAGTACCATAGTTTCCTGTGCATGGATGGAACATAAAGGGGATAACTTGAGAAAAATATATTTAAATGTCCTATATTCAGAGGATAAGTGCAATTTATAAAACGTCATTTTGTTATATTATTACATTAGGCCATTTTGAATATTATCTTAACTTATAAGCATGTGAAATTATATTCAAAAGCTGAAAAAAATATGAAAAAAGAATTATTCAATAAATAAAAAAAAAAATATAAGACTACACTTTAATTTAAGGCAAAGATGTGCATGTTAACACAATGAAGAAGCACATTACAATTCAAAATGGAGGGGGTCACAAATAAGGGGTTCTAGTGACACCCTCCCTCTCATATCCTTAAAATGTGTTTACTAGCATAGTTTTTAGGGAATAGGAGGGAAAGATGTCATGGAGGAGTTCTATTTCTCCAATTACTGTGACACCCTCCCTCTCATATCCTTAAAATGTGTTTACTAGCATAGTTTTTAGGGAATAGGAGGGAGAGATGTCATAGAGGAGTTCTATTTCTCCAATTACTGTGACACCCTCCCTCTCATATCCTTAAAATGTGTTTACTGGCATAGTTTTTAGGGAATAGGAGGGAGAGATGTCATAGAGGAGTTCTATTTCTCCAATTACTGTGACACCCTCCCTCTCATATCCTTAAAATGTGTTTACTAGCATAGTTTTTAGGGAATAGGGGGGAAAGATGTCATGGAGGAGTTCTATTTCTCCAATTACTGTGACACCCTCCCTCTCATATCCTTAAAATGTGTTTACTGGCATAGTTTTTAGGGAATAGGAGGGAGAGATGTCATAGAGGAGTTCTATTTCTCCAATTACTGTGACACCCTCCCTCTCATATCCTTAAAATGTGTTTACTAGCATAGTTTTTAGGGAATAGGAGGGAAAGATGTCATGGAGGAGTTCTATTTCTCCAATTACTGTGACACCCTCCCTCTCATATCCTTAAAATGTGTTTACTGGCATAGTTTTTAGGGAATAGGAGGGAGAGATGTCATAGAGGAGTTCTATTTCTCCAATTACTGTGACACCCTCCCTCTCATATCCTTAAAATGTGTTTACTAGCATAGTTTTTAGGGAATAGGAGGGAAAGATGTCATGGAGGAGTTCTATTTCTCCAATTACTATGACACCCTCCCTTCACAAAAATGTACTTTCTTCGAGTATTAAAATATCACTCCAGGTGGGAAAGACCCATGCAGGTATAAAACTTTGCTTATACAAAAATGAAAAATGGGGAAAACAACAGGTGAATAAAATAACAACAATGACAAGGTACTTTAATCAATTATTGTTATAACAGAAACTTACAAAATAAGCAATGGTTACTTTTTACCAAAGCAAATTTCAGGTGTGTGTTACATGCATTTGAAGAATTTGATGTTATGAGGGAAAAACACACAGGTTCTAATTTGGTAACCATATAGTTAGATCACATCACAGCCTTTTAAAAATATCATGAACATTGATTTTTCAAATTTTTTTTGAACCTGATAATAATTTACTCTAAGCAACCTAAAATCTAAATACAAATACAACATTTTTTAGAAATATTCAAACACAAGTTCTCACAGTTACAATGGAGTGCATTTCAAGAGTATTATACATTCAATTATAATATAACTGGAATCAAATAAGGCTGCCCAATTTTGACACTGAATGAGTGTCAGCCCAGTTTTGACACTAAATGAGTGTCAGCCCAATTTTGACACTGAATGAGTGTCAGCTCAGTTTTGACACTAAATGAGTGTCAGCCCAACTTTGACACTAAATGAGTGTTAGCCTAATTTTGACACTGAATGAGTGTCAGCCCAATTTGACACTGAATGAGTGTCAAAAAACCAGGCTGTCACAATATCTAGTATAATGAATATTTTTACTGCCTTATTTATAATAGCAATATCTGCAAAGCTTCACTAGTCACTACATATTTGGGACATTTTCACCCCTCCCTTATTAATTTTCAAATACTAGCTTAGTATCTAACATTGTCATACATTGATTTTTACAGAATCAGAAGACTTCAAAACACAATACATAGTACTATGTATGTTAAACTGTTATGTTTTCTGAATTTGGAATGAACTTAAAAAAGTGAAGCAATATTATATACATGAATGGGTAAGGAATAAGTATCTCATGAACCTTAATAGTTCCCCCATGCATATTCATGTCTATCTGTCTTAAATCATTAGAAAATAAAATCTGTGATACAAATCTCTGCTATTACCACAAGTGATTAATAAAGAACAACACCCAAGGCATTTCTGGTGAATTTCATAATGAAAATGAACTCAAAAAAGCAAGGATGACAAACCTATCTGAAACAATTAATCTCTGAATCTACCTTTAATCAGCATGCACAATTCAATGTCCTAGAATATGTTGATGGGTTTTAAAAAGGAATTCAAACCTTATTCTAATACTGTCAATCAGGGTATCTAAGATATCATCCTCCAAATGCAGGCATCCAGATATCATCCATTCCATTCCTTCCTTCTCCCTAGAAAGGAGCTGAGTGTTCCTTAATTCCTTCTTCTAAGAAAGGAACAGAGTGGTGGACATCTGGATCTCTACTTTCAGGGGATGTCAAGATTTATATATTGTGATTAAAAAATAACACAGCCGTGACCCATAATTATCAAACTAAAATCACCACTTAAAAAGCAAGCAAATTAATATCTTAAGTTCCACATATCAAGGAATGCAATGCTAAAAAGCTGAAGTGTTAGTACCTTATGTATAAGTGTGTCCTACGAATGGAGTAGAAAACCAAATGTTAAACCAAAATAATCCAGTTGATCCTTTCATTAATGTAGTTAATTGTATTGTTTTACTTTTAAACAGCTACTATAATTATATACTTATCCAGTACATTTTTATTTCTTCCATAAATTACTTATAGAATAGTTATACAAAGTTCTACTGTTCTCTGTTAATTGTATGTTGCATTCAAAGTTGAATTGAGACACCTGAACAGATAGTTAAGTTGTCTTGAAAAGGAAATCAGACCCTCCCTTGTATTTTTCTTGGTACACAGAGAGTGGAAGGGGGAGGTTTCCTTTTCAGGACAACTCTGTTATCTGCTCTGGTGCCAATGAATGATATGCTAAAACTTGGCCTGCAATGGGTCGTATGATTAATCAAATATGGTGTCATCAAGGGTCATATTACCATAGTACTATTTAGCCAATAGAATTCACTAAATTTGGTCACATGACCACTGGTCTGCAGAAATAGCTCAATGCCATTCAGGTATGTATCAGCGCATTATAAAAGAAATAAGAGAAAATGTTTGTATAAGATACACAATACTTACAGATGGTGACTTAGGTAGGCCAACACGCTGGCCATAGCATGTCAGTAGATTCACAAGTCTGTCACGCGTCCTCCCCTGAATATCAAAATATATAAACATGTATATATTCAATATTTATATGTACAATGCCTGTCTATTAATTTAAGATTAATTCCTATATGTTGTATTGTGGTTAAATACCATTTAGACAATCGGAAGTATTAAGGGTATTTGAGGGATTAGAAGGGAAATAAACAAGTTGAGTTTGAGTTTATTTTACAATATTTTTTATTCTCATATCTCCATTCAATAATTCCACTTCATCTTTTTCAAAAGAGAAAGGATAATATTTAGTTTAAAGGTATTGTTGATAGTAGAATACTGCATCAGAACTGATTATGTTTATATTAGGCAATGAAATATAAAAAAATCATCAATGCATTTAAAGATGGCAGCACTTGTATACTACATTGCCTGTTGAGTAAGTGGTCAATATACTGGTCAAATCATTTATTGGGGTCTCCTAAGCGGGCTCCTAAGCCGATGCTGTCTGTTGGGTTTTTAACAGCATTTGATAGTTTTAAAACTATGACAAAGAAATAAAATATTTTGAACTCAAAAAACTTAAACTAAAAGACTATTACATGTATTTCACATGTGATGTACATGTACCTGTCCATAATGTGGTTTCTTCCATCCTCCAACTACAGCGTCCTGTACACCATAATGACTTCCAGAGGACCCATCACTATTCGCTGCCTCGACACCACTCTCACGTGACTCTAGCTCTTCTTTATTGGAGGTGAGGTTTGATTCTATGGTTGGACTGTATTTTCGACCAATCACCTGTGTCTGCGATAGATCATAGGAGAAATCTAACGTCCTCCCTGAAAAAGGTTTTTATTGATTAACTTTATCTTCAGTTAGTGGGAAAAGAGTTAAAACAATCAGTTGATTTTTGTGATAAAATAGTTCCGAGGGCAACAAACAAGAAGAACAGGGCATTTACATGCAAAATGCCACCACCTTTCATTTGTTACAGAGTATACTGCTAAGTACCAAATATCAAAAAACAATCACCAAAGACCAACCACCTAATGCCAAAAACCATCCACTAAAAGTTGGAAATTACATTTTAATACTTCTGGTGGTGACATAAAAACTGGGAGCCAGAAAGTTTTTATCGGGCTAGTTTTTTTTTATCTGGGCCAGATTTTTCATCTAGTATTGTTGAACCAACTAACATGACAATAGGCATGTACAGTAAAACCTGTCTTAGTGAACACCTCTCTCAACACCTCAATTTTCTGTGTCTAGTGAGCATCTTTTCTCAGCACATACTCCAGTGACTTCTGTATAAAATCACCTCTCTGACTTCTGACCACTGACTTCTGTATAAAATCACCTCTCTGAATTGAACACCTACCTATACCTATAGTGAACACATTTTTGAGGCTCCATAGGTGTTCACCATACACAGGTTTTTCTGTAATACAATTTTGAAAAGTAGGTTCTGAATCCCTATGACTCGACCTAATAATAGCAGACAGCCTATTATGAGCATTTTTAAATTTAACAAACCCTACTGAGTGGTGGGAATGTGAAAAATATGAATAACTAGGCACCTTGTTAAATAAATTAAGTCAATAGCCCTTTTCGATAAAACCTTCCATCTTTTTCTACAACGAAGAAACTAGAGTATATTGGCTAGATTAATGATATAATTGGTTGGAGGTAGAGTTCTGTTCGAGCAAAGTCAAAGCAAAAATAGACTTAACTTTTAGCTAATTTTCCAATATACTGTAGAAGTGGAAACTTTAGCGAAACAAAACTTTAGCGAGATGGTCCCTAAAACTTTATTGCCAAATTAAATTTTCCCGGACCAGCAATCAAGAAAATGGAAAATTACTTGGGCGAGCTTATAAGCTTATTATTAGGTTATCATGAAGCATTTATTCACCAACACTATTGGTTGCATTTTTGTAAACCCTGAGTCGTAAACATGTATATCACAGTTATTAGCTCTATATCACCGTTATTAGCCCTATAATTAACTTGCCTTTCGAGGAATGGTGTGTCACCATCAAAGGTAAGTCGTTTATGTTTGTGCTCATTTTATTTTGGCGTCTCTCCTTCAACGCTAAATTTCGCCAAAGTTTCCACGTCGTTAATGTTTCCACTTCTACAGTAAATTCCTTCTTTGATATACTAAAAAGTGGCAGGATTTATCAGAACTGTTTATCAATGCACAATAAGCTGATGTCACATGTAAAATGTCACCAACCTGGGAGTTCTTTCTTGATAGAGATCTCAGCTTCTGCAAATGACGTGTGGGAGGATAGGCTGCTTAGATCATTCATTGATATACTGGCAGCCCTTGTGGAGGGAGGAGGCGCAGTGAGAGAGGAAGACCTCGCAACTACCAACTTCAGTATCTTTAGAGCTTCTTTATAATGTGGCCCCTGTGTAAGAGAATATACGTCAGATTGTCAGATTAAGTTTATCTTATTGTTCCATTTGATTAGTAATTACAATACTGTTGAACAGAATGAGCTGTCCTGATTTACAGAGTCAGGGCTTTTATATATTCATGGTTATTTTGTTAAATAGAGCTAACTGAGTAATTCAAATAGAGTTAAAGCAGGATTTAACATTCATTGTACCAACCTCAACAATCATTGTACCAACCTCAATATTCATTGTTCTCACCTCAACATTCATTGTACACATCTCAATGTACATTGCAATCACCTCATCATTAATTGTACCCACCTCAACATGCACTGTACACATCTCAATGTACATTGTAATCACCTCATCATTAATTGTACCCACCTCAACATGCACTGTACACATCTCAATGTACATTGTAATCGCCTCATCATTAATTGTACCCACCTCAACATGCATTGTACACATCTCTACATATATTTTACCTATCTCAACATTCACTGTATGAACTTCAATATTCATTGTACCCACCTCAACATTCATTCTACCCACCTCAACATTCAATGTACACATCTCTACATATACACTGTAGTCATCTCAAAATACATTTTCCTCACCTCAACAATCATTTGTGCCAACCTCAACATTCATCGTACTCACCTCAACATATTTTGCTACCACTCTGAGCAGGTCATTATTGACAGTGACAGATGAGGTCACCTGGAGGTCAACATAGTGGACTAGACAATGAAGGATCTGAAGCACAGCAGGTTGGGTGCATGTAGGCCCTTTCTCCAACACCTGCAATAAGAAGACAATATTTATGATGTATATGTACTAAGTCAACATAGTGAACGAGACAATGAAGAATCTGAAGCACAGCAGGCTGAGTGCATGTAGGCCCTTTCTCCAACACCTGCAATAAGAAGACAATATTTATGATGTGCATGTACTAAGTCAACATAGTGAACGAGACAATGAAGAATCTGAAGCACAGCAGGCTGAGTGCATGTAGGCCCTTTCTCCAACACCTGCAATAAGAAGACAATATTTATGATGTACATGTACTAAGTCAACATAGTGAACGAGACAATGAAGAATCTGAAGCACAGCAGGCTGGGTGCATGTAGGCCCTTTCTCCAACACCTGCAATAAGAAGACAATATTTATGATGTGCATGTACTAAGTCAACATAGTGAATGAGACAATGAAGAATCTGAAGCACAGCAGGCTGGGTGCATGTAGGCCCTTTCTCCAACACCTGCAATAAGAAGACAATATTTATGATGTACATGTACTAAGTCAACATAGTGAATGAGACAATGAAGAATCTGAAGCACAGCAGGCTGGGTGCATGTAGGCCCTTTCTCCAACACCTGCAATAAGAAGACAATATTTATGATGTACATGTACTAAGTCAACATAGTGAACGAGACAATGAAGAATCTGAAGCACAGCAGGCTGAGTGCATGTAGGCCCTTTCTCCAACACCTGCAATAAGAAGACAATATTTATGATGTGCATGTACTAAGTCAACATAGTGAATGAGACAATGAAGAATCTGAAGCACAGCAGGCTGAGTGCATGTAGGCCCTTTCTCCAACATCTGCAATAAGAAGAAAATACTTATGATGTACATGTACTAAGTCAACATAGTGAACGAGACAATGAAGGATCTGAAGCACAGCAGGCTGGGTGCATGTAGGCCCTTTCTCCAACACCTGCAATAAGAAGACAATATTTATGATGTATATGTACTAAGTCAACATAGTGAACGAGACAATGAAGAATCTGAAGCACAGCAGGCTGGGTGCATGTAGGCCCTTTCTCCAATACCTGCAATAAGAAGACAATATTTATGATGTACATGTACTAAGTCAACATAGTGAACGAGACAATGAAGAATCTGAAGCACAGCAGGCTGAGTGCATGTAGGCCCTTTCTCCAATACCTGCAATAAGAAGACAATATTTATGATGTACATGTACTAAGTCAACATAGTGAACGAGACAATGAAGAATCTGAAGCACAGCAGGCTGGGTGCATGTAGGCCCTTTCTCCAACACCTGCAATAAGAAGACAATATTTATGATGTGCATGTACTAAGTCAACATAGTGAATGAGACAATGAAGAATCTGAAGCACAGCAGGTTGGGTGCATGTAGGCCCTTTCTCCAACACCTGCAATAAGAAGACAATATTTATGATGTGCATGTACTAAGTCAACATAGTGAATGAGACAATGAAGAATCTGAAGCACAGCAGGCTGAGTGCATGTAGGCCCTTTCTCCAACACCTGCAATAAGAAGACAATATTTATGATGTGCATGTACTAAGTCAACATAGTGAATGAGACAATGAAGAATCTGAAGCACAGCAGGTTGGGTGCATGTAGGCCCTTTCTCCAACACCTGCAATAAGAAGACAATATTTATGATGTACATGTACTAAGTAAACATAGTGAACGAGACAATGAAGAATCTGAAGCACAGCAGGCTGAGTGCATGTAGGCCCTTTCTCCAACATCTGCAATAAGAAGAAAATACTTATGATGTACATGTACTAAGTCAACATAGTGAACGAGACAATGAAGGATCTGAAGCACAGCAGGCTGGGAGCATGTAGGCCCTTTCTCCAACACCTGCAATAAGAAGACAATATTTATGATGTACATGTACTAAGTCAACATAGTGAACAAGAAAATGAAGAATCTGAAGCACAGCAGGCTGGGTGCATGTAGGCCCTTTCTCCAACACCTGCAATAAGAAGACAATATTTATGATGTGCATGTACTAAGTCAACATAGTGAATGAGACAATGAAGAATCTGAAGCACAGCAGGCTGGGTGCATGTAGGCCCTTTCTCCAACACCTGCAATAAGAAGAAAATATTTATGATGTGCATGTACTTAGTCAACATAGTGAACGAGACAATGAAGGATCTGAAGCACAGCAGGCTGAGTGCATGTAGGCCCTTTCTCCAACACCTGCAATAAGAAGACAATATTTATGATGTGCATGTACTAAGTCAACATAGTGAATGAGACAATGAAGAATCTGAAGCACAGCAGGCTGAGTGCATGTAGGCCCTTTCTCCAACACCTGCAATAAGAAGACAATATTTATGATGTACATGTACTAAGTCAACATAGTGAATGAGACAATGAAGAATCTGAAGCACAGCAGGCTGAGTGCATGTAGGCCCTTTCTCCAACACCTGCAATAAGAAGACAATATTTATGATGTACATGTACTAAGTCAACATAGTGAACGAGACAATGAAGAATCTGAAGCACAGCAGGTTGGGTGCATGTAGGCCCTTTCTCCAACACCTGCAATAAGAAGACAATATTTATGATGTGCATGTACTAAGTCAACATAGTGAACGAGACAATGAAGAATCTGAAGCACAGCAGGCTGGGTGCATGTAGGCCCTTTCTCCAACACCTGCAATAAGAAGACAATATTTATGATGTATATGTACTAAGTCAACATAGTGAACGAGACAATGAAGAATCTGAAGCACAGCAGGCTGAGTGCATGTAGGCCCTTTCTCCAACACCTGCAATAAGAAGAAAATACTTATGATGTACATGTACTAAGTCAACATAGTGAACGAGACAATGAAGGATCTGAAGCACAGCAGGCTGGGTGCATGTAGGCCCTTTCTCCAACACCTGCAATAAGAAGACAATATTTATGATGTACATGTACTAAGTCAACATAGTGAACAAGAAAATGAAGAATCTGAAGCACAGCAGGCTGAGTGCATGTAGGCCCTTTCTCCAACACCTGCAATAAGAAGACAATATTTATGATGTGCATGTACTAAGTCAACATAGTGAACGAGACAATGAAGAATCTGAAGCACAGCAGGCTGAGTGCATGTAGGCCCTTTCTCCAACACCTGCAATAAGAAGACAATATTTATGATGTGCATGTACTAAGTCAACATAGTGAATGAGACAATGAAGAATCTGAAGCACAGCAGGCTGGGTGCATGTAGGCCCTTTCTCCAACACCTGCAATAAGAAGACAATATTTATGATGTACATGTACTAAGTAAACATAGTGAACGAGACAATGAAGAATCTGAAGCACAGCAGGCTGAGTGCATGTAGGCCCTTTCTCCAACACCTGCAATAAGAAGACAATATTTATGATGTGCATGTACTAAGTCAACATAGTGAATGAGACAATGAAGAATCTGAAGCACAGCAGGCTGAGTGCATGTAGGCCCTTTCTCCAACACCTGCAATAAGAAGACAATATTTATGATGTACATGTACTAAGTCAACATAGTGAATGAGACAATGAAGAATCTGAAGCACAGCAGGCTGAGTGCATGTAGGCCCTTTCTCCAACACCTGCAATAAGAAGACAATATTTATGATGTACATGTACTAAGTCAACATAGTGAACGAGACAATGAAGAATCTGAAGCACAGCAGGTTGGGTGCATGTAGGCCCTTTCTCCAACACCTGCAATAAGAAGACAATATTTATGATGTGCATGTACTAAGTCAACATAGTGAACGAGACAATGAAGAATCTGAAGCACAGCAGGCTGGGTGCATGTAGGCCCTTTCTCCAACACCTGCAATAAGAAGACAATATTTATGATGTATATGTACTAAGTCAACATAGTGAACGAGACAATGAAGAATCTGAAGCACAGCAGGCTGAGTGCATGTAGGCCCTTTCTCCAACACCTGCAATAAGAAGAAAATACTTATGATGTACATGTACTAAGTCAACATAGTGAACGAGACAATGAAGGATCTGAAGCACAGCAGGCTGGGTGCATGTAGGCCCTTTCTCCAACACCTGCAATAAGAAGACAATATTTATGATGTACATGTACTAAGTCAACATAGTGAACAAGAAAATGAAGAATCTGAAGCACAGCAGGCTGAGTGCATGTAGGCCCTTTCTCCAACACCTGCAATAAGAAGACAATATTTATGATGTGCATGTACTAAGTCAACATAGTGAACGAGACAATGAAGAATCTGAAGCACAGCAGGCTGAGTGCATGTAGGCCCTTTCTCCAACACCTGCAATAAGAAGACAATATTTATGATGTGCATGTACTAAGTCAACATAGTGAATGAGACAATGAAGAATCTGAAGCACAGCAGGCTGGGTGCATGTAGGCCCTTTCTCCAACACCTGCAATAAGAAGACAATATTTATGATGTACATGTACTAAGTAAACATAGTGAACGAGACAATGAAGAATCTGAAGCACAGCAGGCTGAGTGCATGTAGGCCCTTTCTCCAACACCTGCAATAAGAAGACAATATTTATGATGTATATGTACTAAGTCAACATAGTGAACGAGACAATGAAGAATCTGAAGCACAGCAGGCTGAGTGCATGTAGGCCCTTTCTCCAATACCTGCAATAAGAAGACAATATTTATGATGTACATGTACTAAGTCAACATAGTGAACGAGACAATGAAGAATCTGAAGCACAGCAGGCTGGGTGCATGTAGGCCCTTTCTCCAACACCTGCAATAAGAAGAAAATATTTATGATGTGCATGTACTTAGTCAACATAGTGAACGAGACAATGAAGGATCTGAAGCACAGCAGGTTGGGTGCATGTAGGCCCTTTCTCCAACACCTGCAATAAGAAGACAATATTTATGATGTGCATGTACTAAGTCAACATAGTGAACGAGACAATGAAGAATCTGAAGCACAGCAGGCTGGGTGCATGTAGGCCCTTTCTCCAACACCTGCAATAAGAAGACAATATTTATGATGTGCATGTACTAAGTCAACATAGTGAACGAGACAATGAAGAATCTGAAGCACAGCAGGCTGAGTGCATGTAGGCCCTTTCTCCAACACCTGCAATAAGAAGACAATATTTATGATGTGCATGTACTAAGTCAACATAGTGAACGAGACAATGAAGAATCTGAAGCACAGCAGGCTGGGTGCATGTAGGCCCTTTCTCCAACACCTGCAACGATCAGAAAAAATCATTGCTCAATTATATTGTGCCATTTATCATAGAATTTTGTTCTTCATACCATAAGCATATTTCATTTCTTTGATAGAATTAAATTTTGATAATTTCAAACATATAACAAACATATTTTGTCATTCAAGTCAGCCATTAATAATAAACAAAATGTGTACCTACCTCGACAAGAAGGGATATAAAGTTGACACTCAACGTGGCGTAGACATCATGGAGATACTTTACAACACATTTGGTCCACTGGAAACTGTCTTTTCCGAAAGTACCTCTACTGTATAAGGTCATAACTGTTGCCAAGTTGTCAAGTTTCTTAGACTGTTCTATGCAGATCTTCATGTTAGAAATAAAAATAGGGAAAATTAAAGGAAAGAACATACATGCAAGTGCTCTGTAAAAAAAGTTTAAAAAAACAGTTTGAAAGTTGAATGATATTGTACATTTTGGCGTATGGGAGATATAGAGAGTAATCTAATCTTGTCTTTTTGATACACTAATCATCATTTTATGCATACCTTTAATAACAACCTTTTAAATTAAATAAAGCTTTTGAGCAACATATTACTTCAGGTTAATTCAGGATCAATCACAGAGCCAATTTTTACCTTTTACATGTAAGGGTTTCACAACATATTCATTTCACTTATACTTTTTGTGATTTCAGAAGAAAAAAGAAACAGCTTGATCAAGAGAACCTAACCCCTTCGAAGACAAAATTCTGTCAATTAAATATAACAGATGTTTATTTAGCTGTGGGGGTCTCAATGTACCTGTGAGATTCTATCTGCAGCTTCTCTACAACTAGTAGGAGGATCCTCATAGTGTTCTACCATCAATGGCAACAGTGCTATTACATTCATGGGAAAACCTATAAATATAACATGAACATGTATACAAGTAGGAGGATCCTCATAGTGTTCTACCATTAATGGCAACAGTGCTATTACATTCATGGGAAAACCTATAAATATAACATGAACATGTATACAAGTAGGAGGATCCTCATAGTGTTCTACCATTAATGGCAACAGTGCTATTACATTCATGGGAAAACCTATAAATATAACATGAACATGTATACTAGTAGAAGGATCCTCATAGTGTTCTACCAGCAATGGCAACAGTGCTATTACATTCATGGGAAAACCTACAAAGGTAACATCAATATGTAAACACACATTGTAAAACATAAGGAAATACTTTCCTTTCTGTGTGCTGAAGATTGATGGATAAGAATACATTTTCATTAAATGAAATAAGTACTTAGTATCAAAAATATTTCAATGTTGTGGGTCCTACAGTAACCCCTGGGGGTCATTATATATATATACATTCACACATAAGTTCTCTTAACAGTAGAGAGGTTTCGCATAGTGGGCAATAGCTAAAATGTACCCGCAACTGCATCTTATTTTAATATTGAACAACTACGCATAAATCTGGTGGATACGTCATGAATTATAGATATGTAGGGCTAAAAACATTTTGCGAAACCTCTCTGATATGTTCCCTAATCTGCCTGTTAACTTACCTAAAGCCTGTGTGGGGTCAACTACTGGTGCATTGATGGCCAATGTTAATTGGGAAAGTATGTTCCATGTGGGTTCGGAAGTCACTGAAGATGTGCAACCCTGAAACACAGAACAATGTACAAAAAATGACTTCAGCTCTTGGTTATTTCCCACATACACCATGCATTTATAGTCTTTTTTCATGCCCCCCCCCACTTTTTGTATACCCTGCACAAAGACTCTAGTTATAAACTACCCTCTGCCTAGTATAGACTATATTACAGTTTAGCAGCCCACCCCCACAACATATGCCATGACAGTCCAGGTAATAAATCATTACAAACCTACCACGCTGGTCTTTTCTCAACCAATCAGCGAACTGGAAGGAATACATGCTAAATGCGTGCTCATTAACTATGCTATGACATCAGAGGAAATAACCACATATAGAAAGTCATCTGTATTTCGACCACAAACTCTGAATGGCTCAGTGAGTTCAGAGATTTATTGTAAACTGAAAGAGTGAAGATGGAGCTCTCTTTTACGAAGGGAAGTCGAACGAATGCAAAGGGGGGTTTTCAAACAATCCTAATCTATAACGTAACATGGCATCAAATCTCAAACGGTGTTCTATCTTTTTATAGAATGGCCATTTTCATCAGATTTTTCCTCCTTATTTTCCAATAAGTTTAACCATAACACTTTAACACTGTTACCTTTCGGCATTGACAGATGCAAACTACTTGTACATGTAAAGGGACACAAGTTTGCCATCCATTTGTCATAAGGAAACCAAATCCCCAATATCCTAAACTATAAGGACACCAAATCCCCAATATCCTAAACTATAAGGAAACCAAATCCCCAATATCCTAAACTATAAGGAAACCAAATCCCCAATATCCTAACCTATAAGGAAACCAAATACCCAATATCCTAAACTATAAGGAAATCAAATACCCAATATCCTAAACTATAAGGAAACCAAATACCCAATATCCTAAACTATAAGGAAACCAAATACCCAATATCCTAAACAATAAGGAAACCAAATACCTAATATCCTAAACTATAAGGAAACCAAATACCCAATATCCTAAACTATGAGGAAACTAAATACCCAATATCCTAAACTATAAGGAAACCAAATACCCAATATCCTAAACTACAAGGAAACCAAATACCCAATATCCTAAACTATAATGAAACCAAATACCCAATATCCTAAACTATAAGGAAACCAAATACCCAATATCCTAAACTATAAGGAAACCAAATACCCAATATCCTTAATTATTCCACTTTTAGGGAACTACTGTATTATCACAATCCTAAAACCATATGACCATGGGATATTTCATTCAGACTGAACAAAGTATATTTCCAATACACTTGACATCAAAAACAGCTGTAGTGACATTGATAACAGATAGAGCATTCAGCCTTATCCACTTCCCTGGTGACTGGGCATCTACAGGGTGGGGTTATGTTGTATGCGACCACCCCCTTGTATTCAACTTTCAGGAATTACTGTATTATCACAATCCTAAAACCATATGACCATGGGATATTTCATTCAGACTGAACAAAGTATATTTCCAATACATTTGACATCAAAAGCAGTTGTAGTGACTCCCACTGAAAAAATATGCGACTACCCTCCCACCCCCAATTTTGAACCAAATGTTTGAGTTACTTACTTTCCCTGGCAATTTAGCTCATGGTACTGAGGAGACAGGGAGGAATTACAGTATGTGCTCTGGCGAAAGCTGCAAGCTGACGAAAGTGCAAGCTATGATAATACTGTTTTAGATGTACGCAAACCCAATTTGGAATAATCCCTGGGACACTTCTGTATAGTACGACCTTAACAAGATGCATTAAATTTTAGTATTGAAAGTAATAAATAGTACATGGGTACTGGGCTCACATGGTGTTGCTCAAAAGTGAATGATGGCTAAAATGGCAGAAAATGGATGTAATTTTTGCCAATTTTTTGCAACAAAATAATTTCATACAACCACTCTTTACAGTGACATGGCTTTTTACAATGCAGGACACCTGAAATTATTTATAAAGCTAGGAAATGGGCCAAAAATGAATTTCGCGAGACAAAAAAGGCGACCATTTTGAAAATAGGGGAGCTTTTACACTAGGAGTCATAAGGGAGTTTTCTGTATTGATGTTGAATAAATATAACATAAAATTGGGAATATTATCGACACAGGTTTTAAAGCAAATGGTCCAAAAGTGAATTTCGCGAGATAAAAATGGCGCCCATTTTGAAAATAGGCAAGCTTTTGAACCAGGAGTCATAGGGGGCTTTTCTATATTGATGTTGAACAAAAATAATTTAAAACCGGAATCCTATTGACAGAGGTTTAAAAACTGGCCAATTGTTGATGGACAGATGGACGGACAGACAGACAGCTCACCATGTGACGAGCTCACCATGTGAGCTGTCTGTCTGTCCGTCCATCTGTCCGTCAACAATTGGCCAGTTTTTGAACCTCTGTCAATAGGATTCTGGTTTTAAATTATTTTTGTTCAACATCAATATAGAAGAGCCCCCTATGACTCCTGGTTCATGTGAGCTAAAAATAATAAAAAGAATGAACTCAACATTCTCATTTTTATTTTAACATTGTATTAAGTATTATTCAACACAATTATTTACATGTGTTCTAAATTCATTAGGAAACTATATATGTATAGTCAACCAAAGTCACTCTTCAATTAGTGTTCTACTGTACAGGTGTTTCCTTTTATTTTACTGTTCCGAGCTTCTGGATTTTCTAGAACATAAAACAAGCAAAGACCAAACTGGCAGGATATATGCATCTCATCCTCAGACGGTTAAAGTTAAGGACATTGTAATTTGTCAGTGTTGTGCAATGAAGCTCATTACAATAATATTATGGCTGTGACATCGTAACAGTATTTACGCTAATCTCTCTATGTTCTTCTTGTTTTGTGCCACACAATAACACTTTCTTATATCCATTTCTAAAGTTCTTGTTGACGATACCATACATGATACTGTTCACGCAGGAGTTGCTGATGGCCAATCTAGTTACAAAGACAAGCCATTCTTTTGGGAGTATATCACCAGAGTCTATGATCACAGTTAGCGCATATGGTGACCAAAATAACACAAATAAGAGTGACACCAGAAAAAATGCCAACACCTGTCTCATTTTCTTACTCTGGGCTGTTGATTTTGATGTCACATTTGTATTGTGACTCGCAACTGATTTGGAACTCGATCGAATTGTTATGAAAGTTTTAATGTAACATATAAATGTAATAGTTAGCGGCATGATAATACCTATACTCATCAGGAATAGTGTATATGATATGCTATCCATGTGATTGTATATGCAATAGCCAATCTTAGTGACAAAGGCTGTTTTTCCCCAGCCAAAAAATCCAGGCATACACATCAAGCAAACATACAGCAAAACTCCAAACGAGATTCCAACAACAGATCTGGGATTGAAGACTTTTCTGTATTGTCCTTGTCTGCAAATATAGAAGTATCGATCCACCGCAAGGACTGCCAACATGTTGATGGATATTCCTAAAGATATCATACAAAGGTAGCCAAACCATGCACAATGGAAACCAATGACGTCATAACCCATCAATGTGTTCGTTGCCACAATTGGGCACATGAACGCGCAGACAAATAAGTCGGCAATGGCAACATAAACGATGAACACATTGCTGATAGTCTGTAATTGTTTGTTGAAAATCACTGTGACGATGATCAACGCATTGCCAAATACACCAATGACCCCCACGGTAACCATGAAAACAATATCAACAATATGTTTTGGCTCCATCTTTGTAAGTAACCCAATCCTAAATGTTTTTACGGAACTTCACGTGGTGTATTTTCTTCAATTGTGTAATACAATCCTGTCTGTATGCTTAAATCTAGTCCTTTGGCATACAGTTATTCCATCAAGAAATAACTTATTTAGAAACGTTATTTTTTTTTAGATGTACTACTAAGACACCGGCTATGGTGCAGATGAAATGTCAACATATCTCAGCCATATTTCAAGAATAGTTAGCTGAGTGTATAATAATTGTACTCCTTCTGTGTGATGGAAATAAAAGAAATAAAAGTTTTAAAGGAAAATTAGCTCTACATTTCAAACAAGCTTTATATTTGTTGTAATCCTCCATGAACACTCTGTTGTCAAAGAACGTGATAATGCAGTGATGAACTTTAAAAGTTCAATAACCGTTATCAATCATTGGTTCCCAATTGATTCTTTGTCACTTCTTTTGTGTCTGTGAAATATTCAGACAAGGGGAATCAACTGGAATTGATTGAATTTGATTGTTTTATTCTATTCCTTTCTATATCTCCACTTATACTCTATTGATTACATATGAAAATGAGGTACCCTCATAGAAACTGCAATATCAAATCTATATGACCAATTATATGGTATTTATTAATATAAGTAGTAAAAGTAAGTGAAATGTGAACAGCTTGGATGCAATTGTTTGTTAGCTAGTTTGTTTCCTTATTTGTTTGTTTGTTTGTTTGTTAGTTTGCTTACTTATTTGTATGCTTGGTCATTGTGACGTATATTACAGATGTTACAGTACAAATTGAATACTCATTGGGCATTATTAATTCTAATCAAGTTCTTGAATGTTCTTTGTTTGTTTGTGTTTGTTTGTTTGTTTGATTGTTTGTTTGTTTGTTTGTTTGTTGTGAGGTCTATCACAGATGTAACAGTATAGCAACCCATGGCCTGGATACTCATTGGGCATAACCAATTCTCTTCCAGGTCTTGCATGTTATTTGTTTGTTTGTTTTTCTTTGTTTGTTTGTTTGTTTGGTTGGTTGATTGTTTGTTTGTTTTTGTTTGTTGAACACTCATTTGGCATAAATATCTTCTAACCAAGGGATTGAAATGCTATCTTTGTAAAAGGGTGACATAGTATTTGGGTATAATTGATGTGTCACACTTTTCATTGATTCTTACTCAAATATTCACTTTTGTCCATCAGCTCATATGTCAAGGCACCCTACCCAACGTGACTATTTACGCCTCATTGATTGACTTATAACCACTGACATTGATTACAGATCATTACGTACATTAAAGAGTCTCTTTACATCTCAAAAATAAAATTACTATAAAACGTTTCTATAGGCTTTCTGTAAGTTAATGATGAATGTTGGAATGAAAAACAACCCTCACAAGTCTCATGTTAATAGTTTGAGCCACGCTTAATATGCAATTATATATGCACACAATATAATCAAATACAACACCACAACTAGGGTCAGACAATTAACTGAAAACTGAGAAGTTCCGACTGTCATTGACCTCAATGATCTGTTAGGTTTGGAATCATTTAGTTCATTAATTGAGTGAAAAATATAATTCGTAAATGCGCATTCTCTAGAATAATGACAGGCCCGTAGCTAGGGGGGGGGTTCGATAAGTTCGAGCGAAGCCCCCCTGGCCAAAAAAATCGTTCAAAATCATGCAGTATGATTTTGGACCAAAATTGTCACAAGTGAACCCCCTGGAATTTTTCAAAAAGTGAAACCCCCTTGGCTACGGGCCTGAAAGAACCAAAAATGAAACCAAGGGAGTCAAAAACATGAACCAACCAGAAAATCTTTAAACTGTCAGACTATAATCCCAACATGGCAACCTAGGCTTATACTCTCCTGATGACAAGCAAGAAATATTCATACATCTGCATGAATTCACATATATCTGCTGATCAATCAGTACATTGTTAGGACAAAAACAATAAATGTTCAATTATTTGCTCTCTGCATATAATTACTCAGTAAAATAACCACTACTCTTGTATTTTGAAAAATTATTTACATGGACAACGAGAATGCTTAAAAATCTAACAAAGTATTAACATCCAAAATGTCACCACCTTCCATTTGTAACAGACACAAAACGCCGACAACAACCCGCAAAACACACTCCAAAAAATATGTTACCACTAAGTAATGGTGATATGAAAATACAGTTATATTACCTTTAGAAGTAATGCCTGTACCCCAGGGAAATTTGGCCAATTGATCTGTTGTAAGATCTTGTCTAACTTCTCCCTACAGTCAGGCCTGTCAAGTTGAATGTTCCTGATGATCTAAAAACAAACAATCATATGTGTGTAGAAACAGTCAGGCCTGTCAAGTTGAATGTTCCTGTTGATCTAAAAACAAACAATCAAATGTATGTAGAAACAGGCAGGCCTGTCAAGTTGAATGTTCCTGATGATCTAAAAACAAACAATCAAATGTATGTAGAAACAGTCAGGTCTGTCAAGTTGAATGTTCTTGATGATCTAAAAACAAACAATCAAATGTGTGTATAAACAGTCAGGCCTGTCAAGTCGAATGTTCCTGATGATCTAAAAACAAACAATCGGAGAATTCACTATTCAAGCAAATGACCTAAATACAGTTTAACCTGTCCTAGTGAACACACCTCTTTAGTAAACACCTGTGTCTTAGCACATACTCCATTGACTTCTGTATAAAATCGCCTCTCTGTAGTGAACACCTACCTACAGTGAACACATTTTTGTGGCTCCATAGTTGTTCACTATATACAGGTTTTACTGTGGTCCTATTTAGAGATACTACCAGGAGGTGGAATCAAAGAAAAAAAAGAAAATAATCATGAACCAAATACATAAATACATATACTTGGGCCCTCTAAACATATATTGACTAAGCACTCTGAATCATTTCACTGGATATAAAGCCTGTACTTCGTCTTTTTGATATGTTTTAAATATACTATCAGTTAACATTAAGAAATTTTGTGAGTATGCTCTCTAGCACAATAATTAGAACTAGATAACGGCAACTCCGCGGAGTAGCAAATCCCAACAAACAAAATATCAATTACCGAATTCCAATCAATTATACTCATTACTTTGGTTAAAATTGAAAAATTTAGATTTTAGAATTGCGAATTCCTGCAAAGCAGCCATTTTGAATTTTCTGAGGTACAAATCTGAAAAATAATACCATAATTGTGATCTACTCCAAAATTCCTTCAATTTGAGTATAATATAGCCATACTTTGAAGGGATCGAAAAATTATTGCAAAATCGTACATTAGACGGCCATTTTGAATTTTACAAGTCTCGAATCAGAAAAAAGATACAATATTTGCAATCTACTCTTAATTGTCTTTAATTTGAGTATAATAAAGCTATACTTTAGAAAGATCTAAAAATAAGCGAATATTTCTGTTTTCCTGACCCCCCATATACGGCCCCTTGGGGTCAGGATGAAAAACACAGAATATATGTGAAATAGATAGATGCTGCAAATATACTACCAAAATTTCAAACAATAATATTTATTACTTTGGTTTAGAATGAAAAATTTATGACTTTTGCGAATAAGTCCCGTCATTTTTAAAGCGGTGGCCATCTTTTTTTGCGTAAAACTATTCACCAATATACATCTTTCCACTAAATATGAAGAAAATCCGTCAACTAATATTTGAGTTATCTTCCGGACGGACAGACGGATGGACGGACGGACGGACGGACGGACGGACGGACGGACTGACGGACTGACGGACTGACGGACTGACGGACGGAGGGCTTCACTATATCCCTACCGAACTTCGTTCGTTGGGATAATTAAATATATTTTTGTCAAAGAATTGTATTTTCCCAAAGATTTCTAGAAAGGTCAAAATAAGTTTGCAACCTCCTTCCTTGCTTACCTTTTCAAACAACCTTATATCATTTCACTGGATTTGAAGTCTTTAATTTAGTGTTTCAATATGTTTTGAGTATACATGTACTATCAGTAAAAAACAAGAAAGGCAATCTCTGGTAGACTAAATATATTTTTGGCAAAAATTATATTTTTCTAGAAAAGCTCAAAAAAATTTGCAATATCCTTCCTTACCTTTTCCAGCAACCTTATAGCTAGGACAAACTCATATTCATAATCACTCTCTAGTAGCGAGACTGCTACCCAGAACATCTGAGACAGAATGGTGAGTTTATCATCCTGTGCCCCAGGGTCTGTCAGGTTTTTCAATGATTGAGCGCTCCTAGAACGGGAGAGGTTTGTGTATTGCTTACGAGTGTCAAGCTCTAAGGAAGTACGTTGCCTGGCATCTCCGAGTCTGGCGTCACCTGTTGGGTTAGATGTAGAATTTTATTACAATTTAAAAGTTTTGAACATTTGCTGGCTATAGTGCATTTGTAACTTTTGATGTTCCCTATTATCATTTAATGTGAGGATCAAATTTGATAGAGTTAAAAAAATTAAAATGGGCTAAAACTTTCCTGGGAATGTCCCTCTTTGTTATAACTTAAAATGGATTAAAATACTGGTATATAAAAATATCATGTATACCCTTTCCTTCAGCTCCTGGAACATCAGATTTTCGATTTATGACTCCAGAAAAGTTATAACTTGTGCTCCTCATGTGATGCGGCGGTGACGTCCTGAGTACAACTGTGGCGCTCTTTTTCATCTCAGAACGAGGCTCCTTGGTCAGGTTGGGAGTTGACATAAACAGTTCTTTCATGAAGTCCATTGGTCGGAACCCCAAATCCAAGACATCAACTGCTGATTCTAATGTCAGCATTATCTCCGTGACATACCCCTGCATGTCTTCTCCAGGCTCCGAAACTGTTTCAACCAATCGGGAGAGAATGTCTGACAACATGCGTGATGTGATGGGTACACGTAATGCTCGGAAAACCTAATGTCAAAATCAGCAGAATTAAGTAAATCAAATCACTATATAATCCAACCCTCCAAATCTTTAAAATGTCAAATAGGTAATACCAATACTAATCTAAAATAGCGTTGGATTTACAAAACATAAAGAAAGCCACTATATGCATTTAACTCTAATAGAAATAAAAAGAATATATTACTGTCACATTTATTAACTCGAAATCATGTCTGAGGAACAACAAAATCAGGTATGACCAACAATTCTTTTTAAGCATAATGCTACCTTACCTGAAATGATCGACCAGCGTAATGTCTGGACGAACAAGCCAAAGCAAGCTGCAAAGCTATCTGAGTCCATCTCTGCTCTAGGTGGGCCATGGGTTGCGATTCTTTGAATATATTCAGTACATAACCTATAAAATGCTCCAACTGGTCTGCACTCTTTATTGTCAACATCTTTGATGTGATATCTTCATAGTTCCACAAGGGACGGTTTTTCCTAAAAATGAAAATAATGCATATAAGAAATTGGGTTGTGTTTAGAGGAATCAATGAAGAAAGAATCATACACTAAATCAACATTATAGATGTACATACAAGAAGTCAACACATCAGAAAAGTCCAGACCCCAGTTGAGACAATTTGTAGGGAAAATGTGAAATAAGTATGTGACGACAATGCTACTAAGAGCACTTGCCTGGATAGCAATGGGTTGTCTTCAATCCCCAATGTGATGGACTGACTTTTTCAAATGAGCCCTCAGCAGAGGATTTCATTCTGTGTTTTGATTAACTGCAGTATATGGCAATACATTAAGAATACTGATTTTATTGATAGTGTAGGTTATACCCCCATTATACCTCAAAAAGATCACATCCATTTCTACAGCTTAATGACTAATTACCCATGTAAAAGTAAATTATTTTATAAAATACAGTAAAACCTGTCTAAGTGGAACACATTTGTTACCTCTAAAAAGTGTTCCACTTGGGAAGTGTTCCACTAACAGAGGTTATTTAACATAAGGTCACTTATTCATGGGACCAAAATTATTCCATTGACAGAGGAGCACCTCTTGCAGAGATGTTCCACTTTACAGGTTTTTCTGTATGCCAAATTACCTTGAAGACAGGAACTCTATGAGGGCCTTGCAGACCTCCTCAGTGTTGTGTAACCTGTCAACATTTACGAGCTCTATACCATTCTCTGGTGTTATGGTAAGGGCAGAATTAACGCTGAATGTTGATTGGCCAACAGGACCTGCCTGAAGTTGGGACTCTGTTTTCTTTTCTGGAGATTCTGAAAGAAGTTTTGAATAAAACCAGTTTATAAATAACATTTATAGTTATTTTAAGTTGTGAAATTTACAGATAATGCAGTTTATGTTTGTTGTGCCAATATCAAAACTTGATAATAATAGGTGGGTCATTCAATAACATTTTCTATCCACATTATTTTACTTAAAGACTCACCAATAAATGTAAATTCTTTCACATAGTCAGTAGGGCAAGTCAGGGAGCATTCATTATTTATATTCCTGTTGCTTAGCAGCACCTTGGTCAGCTCAATCTGATCGTCACCATGACGAGCAAGAACTAGAAGTAAGTTGAGTAGGAGGGTCTTGCAATGTTCATGGACCAGGGACTTAGGGTTATCCATTCCTGAAAAATAAGTATAATGCATACACTAAAACATGAGTTACCATAGCAACTATAAATTTTGACAAATCATAGAACATCAGCTTACTTTTTGTGGCTAAATCTACAAATATTTTCTCAATATCATATGAAAGTTCCAAACAGAAATCTCAAAAATAAGAAAATACGAGCATTTGTAGATGAACTTACTAAACAATCTTGTATTAAAGCTAGAACTGTGACAAGAAGCTCATTTTGCTAAGTTTCTTTCTAAAATCAAAAATGTATGTTTTCCTGCCAAGATTATAGAATAAAATATTTGAAGTTTACCAAGGAATATGACATGTAACATCAAAGGTAAATGTGCTGTCCAATCAACATCTAATCCATCAACCACCAGGTCGGTCAGTAACATCACAGCAAGGTTACATCTGAAAAAACAAAAAGTTCACTAGGGTTATAAATATATATATATATATCTGTAGTAACTAGTATTTTGGTCTACATGTTTTTTGATTTTTGAAGTTTTTTTAAATTGCAATTTCTGGAGACCAATCACTAGTTTTACCTCTAGAACAATTGGATCGAACAATCCTATTTACCCTAATTGTACTAAATAAGAATACAACATGTAAAGTAAATGATACTCAATACTTCATGATCAAATGTTGCCTTCAGCCAATGTACAGTTAACCTTAAAATTGAAACACTGAAAACATGCAAATCAACAGTATATGAGCTCATGTATTTGTTTAAAAATTTCAAGAAAATATTCACCTATTAAATCCCTGATTTGGTTCCATTTTATCAGGCAAGAATTCAGAGAGTGGGGCAAAATACCCGCCATATGCTGGCATTGGTAAAGGGTACGGCACTGGGGACTCACTCCGGAGCCTCTCAATCCCTGGTCTTGATGTTACATTCACAATAGTCATGGGGATGATGTCATCTTCTGGTGTGATGTCATGTATTTTAGTTGTGACATCATTTTTGGCACTACTTGTACTTGTTGTGCTGCATAAGCTTCTTAAACTGGCAGCTGAGTTTGTCCTTGACGTACTACAAATAATGGGCAGCCATTGTTTTATGACATATGAAAAAAATGTTGGGTGTGTTTACGGAAAACAGTTTATAATTAAAGTAAATGACAGTTATGTTCTCATGCTGAAGATATATGGTTATAACCTCCTTAAATATCAAATAAATGTCATATTGCATGTTGAAATTGGTTAAGAATATCTCTGTCACGGATTTAAAATAGTCTTCTATTCATTTAACTTACTCCTCTTTTTCATCAGTGCTGTGCCGTTTAGTGTGCAGCACCCCCTTTTCAAGGACCTCTTCATTACAAGGATGTCCATTGCGCTTCTGAACTTCTGGTGAAGTCATGGCCTTCTTGATTGTTGTAAGCCTATAGAAGGGTGGGGTCTGGGTACGCTCAACATTGTATGTGAGAGACTCTACAGTCTGAAATGAAAACAAAATAGAAAGAATGATTTACATAACAGTGCTGGTATATACAAATGTATCATTTCATTTATTTTTGTATTTAGTCTTTGTACAATATGATGTTTTATCCTTTTACATGTAGAGTAGAGCTACTTATAAAATGAAAATGCTTAATTCAAGGTAACGGCAGATCAGAATAAAATATATTGCACAGCTGAATATACAATAAAAGCAAAGTAAGTGTTTCACCTTGAAATAGTGTTCCACCTAGAAATAGTGTTCCACCTAGAAATAGTGTTCCACCTTGAAATATTGTTCCACCTAGAAATAATGATTCACTAGGGAGGTGATTCACTTCACAGGTTTGACTGTACATAAAACACACTAGAATGACATCAGCCTGACATAAAAAGTTCCTGTACCTGTAACTCATTCATGATGTCATCTATGAGCTTATCAGGTTTAGAGTTGGCCAGGTACACAATCACTCTCTTTGCCTGCAACAGAAATTCAATAATACGATAAAATGATCACAATATAGCACCCAAGGGTGGGATAAAAAAAACAATTTTATATTCTAAGGGTAAAATAATTAAATAACTTCAATGAATTGACGATACCATCATTTTTGTTTTTTCAAACATTTCTGATTTCATTTGAGTTTGAGTTAAGATTTATCCTTATGGACAGATTGTTGCATCAATCTTTAAACCCTGTGAGGCTTGTGGCAATGAGAATGTTGCCTGCTCTTTCCATTCATTTTACTCATTTAAGAGATCTTTATCTAATTTACAAGGCAGGCCCGTAGCCAGGGGAGGTTCGATTGGTTTGAGCAACCCCCCGGCCAAAAATTCTTTCAAAATCATGCAGTTTCTCACCATTCTGAGCACTTTTTAAGTGATTTTGGCCATTTTTGGACCAAAATTGTCAAAAGTGAACTTCAAAAAGTTAACCCCCCTTGGCAAATCCTGGCTATGGGCCTGCAATGCTATGGCAATCAGGGAGACATTGCCATGCTGCGCTAAAACAGAGTTCCTTGCTACAATGGACAATGGACATGTGTTCATTACAGAGAGGGCCCATTAACATGTAAGTCAATGGAAAAATATGATAGTTTTGAAAACTGCTCCTTATAGTGAGAAATGTTCCAGATACAGTACTTTTCCCTCAGACAGGTTTTACTGAACATGTACTTACATATGGTAGAAGCTCTGTTGGGGCCATTCCTGCCACAATGATGAGGTATCTGACTATAATCTTCAGATTATTCGACCAACAGTCAAAGTAAATCCTGTCTCTTATTGTAAAATACTTGATTGTTTTGAAAACTGTTCTTTGTAGAGAGATTAGTCATATACAGACAAGTTTAACTTAACTTACATATGGTAGAAGCTCTGTTGGGGCCATTCCTGCCACGATGATGAGGTATCTGACTATAATCTTCAGATTATTCGACCAACAGTCAAAGTAAATCCTGTCTCTTATTGTAAAATACTTGATTGTTTTGAAAACTGTTCTTTGTAGAGAGATTAGTCATATACAGACAAGTTTAACTTAACTTACATATGGTAGAAGCTCTGTTGGGGCCATTCCTGCTACGATGATGAGGTATCTGACTATAATCTTCAGATTATTCGACCAGCAGTCAACCAGCGCAGACCAGATGACACTCAGCTCCTTGTTGTGGTCGTCTCCGAACTAAAACACGTCAACAAATTGTATTTTTACTTATTCGCAACTTGATGACAAAACTATTCATGTATAATTCACTTCTTTAATTAAATTTTTATAATTATTAAATTACAGAAGGTTGGATTCACCAATTTATTAAAACACCCATAGATAGCAACAGTAAATTCATTAATAGATCAATAAGGGTAACTGAAATGTCATCTGACATATCAATTATCACAGTTTTTATTCTTTATGCTTCAATGAACAACCTGTGCGCCATGCTTCTTCACTATCTAGGGTAAAAAAAATACAAATGTTACCCTCTAAAAATTGATGTTAAATATGCATTTCCATGTCAAAATTAATTTTTATTAGACTACATATTAATGCTTTAAAAAAATCCAGATTAACTGATAAATAGTATGGCATAATAACCTATTCCTTTTTATTTATTCATTTTCTTATCTTACCTTAGTAGTCATATAGAAGAGGTTATTCAAGACCATCTCAGTGGCCTGTGTTGAACCCCAACCTTCTCCCTTCAGTGGAGGTTTTAGATAGTCATGCTGGGCATCAGCCATCTTACTCAGGAAATTGGAGAGTGGATTGCCAGGGAGATTAGGGTCAACTAACTCCATGTTGTGTAACCATGGCAACAAGTAGTGAAGCATGATTGATCTAATGGCTGGACGTGCTGTTTGAAATCTCAGGCTGATTTCTAAAAATTAGAAATAGAATTTTTAAAGGTGGGTTAAAGCAAGGACCAAACTAATGCTAATGGTTGAACTGAACACTGGACTCTAATTTTCTTTTTAGTCTCTAATTCTTTATTAGTGATAATGGAGTCTATTATATACCAATATAATACTTTAATAATGTACAGATTCGTGTAAAGCTAATATAAAGATGGCACTATTGCAGTTAATATTTCATATATTCTCCAAGGAGGATTGGCTCCCAGGATCACAACTCAATATTTTCCAACAATGAAAACATAAAAATGTCTTTATTTTCTGAAATTATAACCAACAATAAATTCAAAATAAACAATCAAAAAGATTCAAAACCAATATCTCGATCATTTCTTGTGAGTCTTGAAATTCTTCATTTGGAAATAAGACCAAAATTCACGATTTCAAATGTTGAGGTGAACAAAATGGCAGCTGTTTGAATTCGAATTTTGTAATCACGACATGCCCATATATGGCTAAATTATCGATGTTCCACTCTGGGAGCCAATCCTCCTTTACTTGTTTATTCTCAAAAAAGGAAATATATTAACAGAGGTGCACTGCCATCTATTAGCCGAACCCTATAATGATTATAGGTAACACTTTTGATTTGTACAGTGTACACATTCAAACAGTATATTTCAGCTAACCTGACCATATGGGAACTGTTAGCTCTGGGTGTAACCTAGACAACTGCTCAGAGAGGTAGAGTTGTGTGTGGGAGTATGAGGCACACAGCGCCATCTTACATTGTCTCTTATCATCAGGTTTTACATCTGGACCTTAAGTATAGAAAATATATAAATACACTGTGAAAGTTGAAATGAGATATAATCAAAATGTTTGAATATCAAATGGGGATCTCCCTTGTATTTTGAGTTTTGGGTCCATTAATTGTATAAATAATCTAAAGAAAACACATCTTCTTGTACATGTTTACTATTTTAAATGTTATTTAGGGTTAATTTTAGGGGTCAAACGGTTCAAAATTCCAACAGTTCAGTACGGTCACGGTTTTTAGGTTCACGGTTCGGTTCTTTCACGGTTCTCGCGGGTCTCGTAAATTGGTAATACTTCCTTATAAATTGTAAAGACAGCCCATAAAGAAACAACGAAAGAGAGAATATTGAAAACTAAAAAATTTTATTTTTCAATTTTTCCTCGAACCGTGGATGGACCGAATCTCATATTTATGAACCGAAAATACCGTCCTAGCATCATTTACCGCGGTAACCGCGTACCGAGGTTAACCGTTTGACCCCTAGTTAATTTGTATATTCAACATGACACAAATATTACGATTGAAAGCATTAGAGAGTTACAGTGGATACAGTAAGTTACGGTTTATAATGTCTATATTTGTCAATTTTCTCAATTCAATTTTCAGAAAAGGGAAAACATTGTTGTGAGGTTAACCGTTTGACCCCTAGTTAATTTGTATATTTAACAGACACAAATATTACGATTGAAAGCATTAGAGAGTTACAGTGTATACAGTAAGTTACGGTTTATAATGTCTATAATTGTCAATTTTCTCAATTTCATTCTCAGAATATAAAATATGGACTGAAGAAAAAATATTGGCATAATTTTTGAAAAAATTATTTTACATTTTATACTTTGTATTGTATCTCTTCTACATGTACTTCATTTAATATTACCTTGGCTAGAGTCAACAATGACCAGCTCATCTAGGAAGAATCTCTTATCTAAAAGCTGAAGCAGTTCAACTGCTGTCTTGTGTATAGATGTCCTCGCACATCCACAGTTCAGAAGTGTCACATTTAACATGGCTACATGGTCACAAGGGTATTCCCTGTAAAATACAAAGTATCCAGACTTTGTTTTCGTAAAACATGACTAAAAAGTTCAATGTCTAGGGTTTAAGAGTATCAAAATTTCATTCTAATTTCATTTCTATAATTATTTTCTGTCTTCTTAATTAATGACTAGATTTTTTGATTTTTTTAAATGACTGAAACGTGCAATTACTGATAATATCCAATAGTTAACAGATTTTTGCTACTTAACTCAAAGCGAGTCTGAGAAAACATTACAAATCATTTATTTCATTACGCTGTAAACTACCCTTAACTATAGAATAAAAATATCATCCTTTTATTTACTCATGATATGACTTTTATATAGATTGATATCTGCTCTCAATTGCTTCACTTGATTGTGTAGGCATCATATCCATTCATGGATATAAATCATATTACTCATAAAGCATAGGATATCCTCTATATATCCTACTGTCATCTTTATAAGTTATGAATAAGAAAGCTATTGTCTTGCTACATGGTGACTTTTAAAACCCATTGCTCAAACATCACCCATATACATTAACAAAGATTAAAGCAAACAATCCATGGTTTTAATACATTTTATTGTTGTGAATAAAATAATTTACATGTTATTTAATAAGTAAATTTAATTTTGCTCCAAAAGTTTTTTAATATCTTTTGCTCAAATTGACAAGGAATTAGCATTATTATTTGTTATTATTTTGACAATATAACAAGACATGCTTGGGAGAATCAAATGTCAATCAAATCAAATTAAATACTGCTTACTAGTACATGTATTTACATTAAGATGGAAAATATTTCTTTTTTATTTAAACATTAACTAAACGAGTACATTTTTTCTTCATATATGACTATTACTATATCCAATTTACTGTCAAAATATTTGGGGTGTCTTGTTATACTACCAATCAGTTGCCTGGCATCATTCACTTCATTAGGAGAGTAATGGTCCATTTGTATGGTGAATCTTATGATAAGAGATGGCAATTTACTTCAACATTACAGGAAATTGGCCTGTAATAATACAGAGAAGAGTTACAAATTCAATTTTGAAAAGTATTGATAAGACATATTACTATGACGTACATCTCTAGGCGAACACACATCATTCATTTAAGTTTATTAGATAGTAATAACTTGATAACTCGAACTGTTCTATTAATATATAACTGAATTGTTTACAAAGTGGATATGCTTAGTGGAAACAATGATAAGCTATTCCGAGAGCACTGTAATTAACAGATATCTACAAGTATTAGTTACATATATATCTCCTAGACTATATATAGTTATTGGGAAATAGAAATTATGAAGAGCTATATCTAGTGCTGCATCTACCACTCCCCCACTGTCTTTCCTCTAATCTCTGGCATACACAATTAGTGCTGGAAATACTAGATTACATTAAAGCCATGTATGCAATTGTTTCAATGCATGTATCTTTTTCATTGTTTCATTAATGCATCATTTCAATTGTTTCAATGCATGCATCATTTCAATTGTTTCAATGCTATCGCCATTTCAATTGTTTCAATGCATGCACCATTTCAATTGTTTGAATGCATGCATCATTTCAATTGTTTCAATACATGCATCATTTCTATTGTTTCAATGCTATCGTCATATCAAGCATTTCAAACATTTCTGCTGCCAGTGTATGCAGGGCTTAAATTGTTTCAATAATACAATCAAATGAAACTGAGGAACTAAACTCCAAAACAATTTACTTATGTTGGTAATGGATTTTAGATATAGCTTGGGATTAAATCAAAGACCAATAGTCATGTGTATGCTGTTTTCCTTATATGCTAGAATTATTGAACACAGACCAGAGGTTTTGATAGAGATAGTGTCATTCTTTTTTACCAACTTCCTCATCAATGGCATACATATTGTTCTTCATTTTGAATCTTGCAAGAAGTCTTCCCAGGAGGTTCCTCAATTTAGGAGGATTAGCACTGTTACTACCCACTGTACAGTGATACTCCTCCTTTAAACTGATTGTAGTTTGCAACCGTTCATCTAGAGACTCAACAGGATGATTCACCAATGTGGAGTGATGATCTATGGTGACTTCATTTGTCTGCCGAGTAGCAGTTGCTTCATCTTTTAAGTGTTTGTCCTTTGTTTCAGAGGATATTGCATTTTTTGGTTTAACAGTACCTATGCCAGTAGGCGTGCTTTTGCTTCTGATAAGTGGCTTAACTTGACCCATATTCAAAGGGCAGCTCTTATGACGTAAAAACGGCTTTGTGGTGCTTGGTCCATACCGTCCTTTTTCTGTGTTCTCATCCCCAGGCATATGGGTATTGACTGCCATCATCTTCAGTGGGTGTGTTTCGTTCCTGGACTGTGGCTTAATGCGGTTCTGCTTTGGAGAGTTCACTAGAGAAGAAATCAATTTATCTTTGCTTGAGGTTTTCAAATTTAGCTTTGGACTTTGAATAATGTTGTAATCAAGATTTGGTGGTAAGTTAAATGGTGAACTCTTTGTACGGCGGAATGGCTTCTTAGCATTATTTCTCTGTAATGGTGGTAGTTTACGTGGATATGATTTCCTCGTACCATCGTATTTTGTATAATCAGCTTCTCTAGGTGATATCCTCACAGATTGAGCTGGTAAGCATGATGACAAGAGTTCAACACTGGTGTCAGTATTTGATGCAGGATCCCATGCCTTCTTCAATGCAGCAATGCTCATTGGTAATGTTGGACACATATCTGTAACATCATATGATGCAGCGTTAGTTGAGTACAAGTCTGCAGTGCGTGTTGTACATCTTGGTGAGAGCAAAGCATCCAACTCTAATGTGGTATACTTGTGCCTCAGAAGCCGTGTTTTACGGTGAATATCCTGAGGTTCAAAGTCGTTATCTTCTGATAGCCATTTTGTCCCTGACAAATAAGAAGCTTTATCTTTTATGAATGAGAGCTGTCTTTTGTCAAGCTTTCTCCTTCCTGTAAAGGATAAAAACAAGGTATAATGAACACACAATAATTTGAAAGAGAGGAAACAATTCAAGATTGAAAAATAAACTGTTATCTAATGATATATCAAAGGACCCCCCACATCTCTATTCCTTCTTATCTTTTTATACTGAAACTGATACCAAATCCTTAAAAATATATGTATAATCTTATCTAGAAAAGCCATGATAAAATAGCAAAAACTGATCTTGATTGTACAATAATTGTCTAGCACCTAAAAACTCCCACAGTGTAAAAGAGTAAATTCATAACTTATAATGATGACCTATTTATAAATTCTGTAATGATATTACTAATTAAAAGTATGTCAAAGTGTTTAAGCGTGAATTTGTAACTAATTCATCGCCAATTTATAAATCTTATAACAATATTATAATAATGTTTTGTTTGGTAAAATATTAGGTTTGACTTACCCTTAGTATATTTTTCTTCAAGTTTTTCCATATCTTTTTCCAACTGTCTGTCTAATACGGTATTAGCAGCATTTGTTTTTGCTGCCTTCATGACTGTATTCCTCTAGTGAGTGAACCCTCTATATATAATATTATTTGAAACTCCAGTGTTTGATGTCAGAAATTACAGTGAATATGAATGAGTTTGATTAATCTGTTCTTGCTTATATAGCACGGATGTATTGTATGTTGCGTACATTTACTCTACATTGGTCAATATCTGTTAATTCAATTACACTATTTGTGACCCCTAGGACTCCAATGGATCTCTTAAAGACTACACACGTTCTTATGACATCATGAGAGAAATGAGAAACTCATAAGGCTAACTAGCTCTTATTCTTTTTTAATTATTTATTTCCTTTCTAGAGTAGAAAAATCTTAATTTACATCATTAAATATTCAAAATTCAGTCAAAGTGATGTCATATTTGAAATCTACATGTAAAAATCTTTTTGAATTCTAGTTCAAGGAGATTCCCATAGACCCCATGTTACAAAATCACAAAAAGTGAAATATCTTTACACAAGGGTGATATGAAAATTGAACCACCAAAACATATAAATATTTAAGTTAAAGGGAATTTTCTACTATGCGCGCCATGCTATCTGACCCAAACGAGCCACCTGGCGTTGAAACTGGTAACTACATACTCGCATCTGAGTTATTGAGTGTATAACTGCTTTTTCAAAAATATTCTCATCTTATAGCAAAGTGGTAGAGCACTTGTCCAGAAAGCAAGGAGTCGTGGGTTCAATCCCCACTGGGGTAGACTGAGTTTTTTTTACACCAGCCAAGTTTTCATAAACCTTCTCATCCTAAATAACCCTAAAACATTTTTTATTCATAATTTCAAAACATTTTTTATTCATAATTTCATAATGATATGTAGCCTACACAATCAACAGACTTGGATATAAACTTTTCATGCAGTAATTACCAAAGCTTGGAAAAATTATTTATTTAGAAAATTTTCAATATTCATTATTTTTATATAAATGGTCATAACTCCTTAAAATATATTTTTTTAATTATTCATCGTAAAACATAGAGACATGCTTTCTAAGAACAGTTTTCAATGTTTACCTTAAATTAGGAAATATCAAGGAGCTTGCGTCTTGGATATATGCCTTTAAGAAAATCTAAATGATCAATAACTGATTAGGGATAATGATGGAAGATTATTACATCATCTCGCTTGCTTAGAGATCAATACAAAAATCCAATAACTAAGACCCCTAAGCTAATAACTGGCAATACCGGATATCCACGTCTCCCCCGCCAAGAATCCTTTACCTCATTGCATGTCAGGGTTATCAATCAAAACAATCATACAAAGTTGATTTATTGTTTGTCTGTATAAGTACAAGGAATCAGTATTGTTGTTTATTAAAGTCATGGGTGTAGCCAGGCATGTGGCAACTGAACCACAATGATAACAGAAAAATGTAAATGCAGAAATCTTTTCAATTTAAACCATAAAATTGAAGTCAAATGATAGTATTATATCCCCATTTTAGTTACAAATCTTTTAATTAGCCTCATAAATGTATTTCCAGATCTTGACTATAACTCTGAAAGTTATGTACGCTTTTTTAATTTCAGCCATAGTGTTTCACATGAAATGAGGGTAATTAAAATGTTAAAGGTCCCGTGTAAAGTTTGAAAATATGGTTTAATCATTCAAATATTACTTTTCATGACTTGAAAAACCATTTGAGACATTTTCTTGAAAAATATGCCTCATAATTTTCAAATATTTGAATTTCCCACCATTTTAGAAACAATTTTAAGATCATCAAAAACAACATTGAACACTGTTAAACACAATATTTTCTCAACACTATTAAATAGACCAGGCAAAAGTCAAATTATCTCAATCATTCAAGTTTGCTTTTCTTGCTTTAGACTACTATTTTGGTACTTTCCCTTTGGCACTTGTGCTTTGATATTTAAAAAGTTGTGATGTACGCAACAATATGCTGAACACGATGTCATTCAGGTGGCAAATTTTTTTTTTAAATTGTCAATTTTTATCTGAACCACTTTTCTGAGCTTATGGGTTAATTTCTTGCTTATTTTTTAACCAATATTCTTATTTTTTCAACACAAAATAGGTTAGAATGTATGTTATGCATCGTTATTACTCAACAATGAAATTTAATTGAAAAGTTTCACATCACACTTTTTATAACACTGGCTTGGACTAAATATAAGCCAAAGTAGTTTAAACTTAATATGGGGCCTTTAAGTATTGTGATGACATCTACTGGGGAACTCATTATCCCTGAGCTTATATGTAACCATCAATTACTGTAGTTTCAAGTACATATTCAGGGGTGGGGAGTTTGAACATAACAACCCTGACATAATATTATGCTTAATGACTTCATGGCACTGGGAAACATCTAAGAATCTAATGTAAACAATTGAATATCTTGGACTATGATAAGAGGTAGCAATAACGGAGATATTCAATAATTGGCTATGGGTAATTGTGCACTATGAAAATATGATAACTTTTCAATTAGTCAACTGAAGGTCAGTTGTGATTTTAATGAGTAAGCAAAAAACATGCCATTTAAAAGTAAAAAAAATATGTGTACAGAAATATAAGTTTCATGATAAGAATAAGTCAGCAGAAAATCGAGATAAACAAAGCATAAACATGCAAAATGTCACCACCTGCCATTTGTTACAGATGCTGACTGCCAAACACCAGCTGTCAACTGCTGATTGAACACCAATCGCCCAATACTGCCCACAAAAAAAGGTGGAGACTATAACAACATGTCACCACTTAACAAAATAAGAAATTGTTTCAATCACATACCTATTATTAAAGACAGTGGCGAGTGCATTAAAGCAGCCATCAGCCACAGAGCTGCTTCCTGTATAACAGCAATCGATAACCCAGTCCAACAGGCACTGTTCATTCGGGTTGTAGTCAAGGAGTAAAGTCAGTGTCTCGACTGCCAGGTTACAGATCTACAGTAAATTAAGTATCAAATATTGTGGCTTGTTCAAATGATTATACTTTAAAGTGGTTTGGGGTCATTTAGTTTTTTTACTTTTATGCAAAAAAAAGAATATATATATATATAATAGTATTTATTAGTACTGATGCCCTTTTAGGGCCAAACGTACATCCGACATACAATTTACAATAACAGTAAATGTAGCAATAAAGTAAAGAAAATATGATTACATTCTTCAAATGACATATATATCACACATCCTAGTTTTCTGCATGAGAAAAATGCAAATTCTGCGCAGAAATTCTGCATGAAAAAGCCAAGTTCTGCTCCAAATTCTGCATGAAATCTAAAATTCGGCACCAAATTCTGCACGGGGAAAAATGAAATTCTTGCTAAAATCAATAATTTTTTTTCCAAAAATTAATAATTCAAAATTCTTGAACTCCACTCATGCTGCTTTCTTCAGCGATAATGGACAACTGCAGTAATAAGTATAACACCAGATGCAATTTTAATCAATTAGCGACAAAACTTACCAAATGCTCACTTGTGAACTATCACGAAATTCGAAGTATCACGAAATTCCAGATCAATATGCAGGGAATTCAGATGTCGTTTATTGATATATGACGAAGTAAAACGCAAGAAGAAGCATAATTTATTGCGTTAGAATACAAGCGAATACAATATTAGACATATTATTGCAAAACAATTACGAGGGACAGTCATCGGTTTCAAATTTCGTGATTATGTTAGACGCAGTCTTACCTCTAAGTGCAAAGGCGGAAGTTCGAGAATTTAAAACAGATTTCAGATTTCCTCTTGAAAATCTGACAAAACACAAGTATCTGACAACAAACGAGCGGAGTCTTTGGGTGTTTAGGTGAGTGACAAATATGAGATGAGATGGTTGACTGGAAAAATCATGTTTTCCGCGAAATTCCGTGCCAAAACAAAAATTCTGCAAAAAAAATGAAAATGCAAATTTCTGCGGTTTTTCTGCGGCGACGCGGAATCACGGAATACTAGGATGAGTGATATATGCAAAGCTTATTGGTTTGATAATGTACAGGTTGTTCAAAAAAATAATTTCTTTGGGATGCGTTTTTTTGAACACCCTGTATGATTCATTAGGCAGTGACCCCCCCCCCACATACACACATTTATATAATTGTGGCACAATGCAATGTATAAAAATACTAACTGGCTAAGTACCTTTGAGTCTTGTGTAGAAAGCAATGTATCCAGCCAATTATAGCAATAACCATCTTCACTTAGGCCTGTCGGGTCAAATGTAGGGCCACAACACAGAACTGCAGACATGGCTTGTAGGGCTGATAATTCTAGCTCTGTACAGCTTTCTTCCTTTTCATTCCTATAATACAATTAGTAAAGGTCAAGGTTGGGTCAAAGGTAGGGCCACAACACAGTACTGAAGACATGGCCTGTAAGGCTGATAATTCTAGCTCTGTACAGCTTTCTTCCTTTTCATTCCTATAATACAATAGGTAAAAGTCAAGGTTGGGTCAAATGTAGGGCCACAACACAGTACTGCAGACATGGCCTGTAGGGCTGATAATTCTAGCTCTGTACAGCTTCCTTCTTTTTCATTCCTATAATACATTAAGTAAAGGTCAAGGTTGGGTCAAATGTAGGGCCACAACACAGTACTGCAGACATGGCCTGTAAGGCTGATAATTCTAGCTCTGTACAGCTTTCTTCCTATTCATTCCTATAATACAATACATAAAGGTCAAGGTTGGGTCAAAGGTAGGGCCACAACACAGTACTGCAGACATGGCCTGTAGGGCTGATAATTCTAGCTCTGTGCAGCTTTCTTCCTTTTCATTCCTATAATACAATAAGTAAAGGTCAAGGTTGGGTCAAATGTAGGGCCACAACACAGTACTGAAGACATGGCCTGTAGGGCTGATAATTCTAGCTCTGTACAGCTTTCTCCCTATTCATTCCTATAATACAATTAGTAAAGGTCAAGGTTAGGTCAAATGTAGGGCCACAACACAGAACTGCAGACATGGCCTGTAGGGCTGATAATTCTAGCTCTGTACAGCTTTCTTCCTTTTCATTCCTATAATACAATAAGTAAAGGTCAAGGTTGGGTCAAAAGTAGGGCCACAACACAGTACTGCAGACATGGCCTGTAGGGCTGATAATTCTAGCTCAGTACAGCTTTCTTCCTTTTCATTCCTATAATACAATAAGTAAAGGTTAAGGTTGGGTCAAATGTAGGGCCACAACACAGTACTGCAGACATGGCCTGTAGGGCTGATAATTCTAGCTCTGTACAGCTTTTTTCCTTTTCATTCCTATAATACAATAAGTAAAGGTCAAGGTTGGGTCAAATGTAGGGCCACAACACAGTACTGCAGACATGGCCTGTAGGGCTGATAATTCTAGCTCTGTACAGCTTTCTTCCTTTTCATTCCTATAATACAATAAGTAAAGGTCAAGGTCGGGTCAAATGTAGGGCCACAAAACAGTACTGCAGACATGGCCTGTAGGGCTGATAATTCTAGCTCAGTACAGCTTTCTTCCTTTTCATTCCTATAATACAATAAGTAAAGGTCAAGGTTGGGTCAAATGTAGGGCCACAACACAGTACTGCAGACATGGCCTGTAGGGCTGATAATTCTAGCTCAGTACAGCTTTCTTCCTTTTCATTCCTATAATACAATAAGTAAAGGTCAAGGTTGGGTCAAATGTAGGGCCACAACACAGTACTGCAGACATGGCCTGTAGGGCTGATAATTCTAGCTCTGTACAGCTTTCTTCCTTTTCATTCCTATAATACAATAAGTAAAGGTCAAGGTTGGGTCAAATGTAGGGCCACAACACAGTACTGCAGACATGGCCTGTAGGGCTGATAATTCTAGCTCTGTACAGCTTTCTTCTTTTTCATTTCTATAATACGTATACAAGAATATATTTAAGGTCAAGGTAACCAACAAAAAGGTTCACTTTTATACATAATCCCCCCAACACTCCCTCTCCTGAAGTCCTATAAAATGATAAGGTTATTGGGGATTTATGGAGCAGGCCCAGAGTGAAGTCTCCCTTGAGGTGAAGTCAGATAAATGTGCTTTTGTACAAAATGAATGTCATCATAAAACTCACCAGTCTGAAACCTAAATCATCAGATTTGACCAATGAGCCATGGTCCAACACTTATAAAAAAATGTAAATGCTTTACAAACTTAAATCTAGGAATGCTTCAAAAACTAAATTAGTGTAGATACTATCTTATTTAATGCCTGCCTTTCTTACTGTATTATAAATTAACACTTACCTTCTATTGAGACTCCCAAATGTATTGGAGACTGTGTACTGTCCACTCCAGCTACCAAACAAGTAGAACAAACTATACCTCAGATCTCTAGAGAGGAGCTTGCCACGGTTCTCAACTAAAAAATACAAATATTTATAGGTATCAGAGACATATGTATTGTCTCATGGTAGAGATGACACCACAATTTTATAGTATGTGTACCTGTGAAAGTTTGTACAGGGTGGTCCAAAAAAAATGGGACACTCGTATTTCAAAAATAAATATGAATTTTCTTGATGAAAACATGTCATATTATATACCAATGGATAGGGAATTTACTCATCTTTAATTTGGTATATCATAAGTTCAAAAACATTATAATGTCTGTCAACCAGCGTCCATAATATAAATGACGTCATTTTTGTTTCAAAACAGGTTTTCCAAAACTTGCAAAAACCTAAGTTTTGTTGTCAACTTTATTTACATGAACAGACGTTCAATATGCCCACCATTTTGATCAATTGTAGCCCTCAATTTTGGCCTAAACTGGTCAATAGCATCATTAATATGCTGTTGAGACAATAAATTTCACTTCTCAATAATTCTGTCCTTCAGGGACTGAATAGATCTAAAGGATTTATGGTTCACTAATTCTGTTAGTTCTCCCCATATATGGTAGTCACAGACGTTGGGTGATCGGCTGATCTGGGGAGCCAGTGATAAAGGGGGGAGGGGTTGAATCTAGGCACATTTTCTTTTAAACATTTTACACTCTTTGGGATCTATTGCTTAGAGCCACATCTTGTTGGAAAATGTAATGATTCCAAAATGAGCTCATATCAGAATGGTCCAAAAACAACACAATTGGATCATCTGATATCAACGTCTGCGACAACCACATATTGGGAAAACTAACAGAATTGGTTTATCATGAACCCCTTACATCTACTCAGTCCCTTACTAAGGATAGAATTGTTGAGAAGTGAAATTCATTGTCTCAACAGCATATCAATGATGCTATTGACCAGTTTAGGCCAAAATTTAGGGTTACAATTGATCAAAATGGTGGACATATTGAACGTCTGTTTATGTAAATAAAGTTGACAATAAAATTTGGTTTTTGCAAGTTTTGGAAAACCCGTTTTGAAACGAAAATGACGTCATTTATATTATGGACGCTGGTTGACAGACATTATAACAAATTTGAACTTATGATAGACCAAATTAAAGATGAGTAAATTCCCTATCCATTGGTATATAATATAACATGTTTTCGTCAAGAAAGTCGATATTTATTTTTGAAATATGAGTGTCCCATTTTTTTGGACCACCCTGTATATTTTACTTTTGCTTTGTTTGAGTCTGTGGTATTTTTCCTTAACTTAGGCTGTCAAGTGTAATTAGAATGACTTTGGAAATTATTGTTAGAAATATAGTGATGGTTACAAAATCTTGTGTTCATGAATATCATTTCTTAATAATGCTGCCATATAATATGTATGAAGTAAAAAATTCAATAGTTCATGATAGTTCTACTGCATCTAGCACCTCTTTTCAAAACAATGAACCTGTAAAGTGGAACACCTCTAGAAGTGGTACACTTCAGAGTCCCAAGACAAACTAACTTTCTAATGATAAATTAGCCTCTGTTAGTGAACACCTCCCAATTGGAACACCCTTTAGAGGTACCAAATTTGTTCCATTTATACAGCTCTCACTATTTTTAGATTCAGGATAGTAAAGGGTAATATTTACCTGGAGTATTTCTAATAAGGTTACGTATGAAGGCACTAAAATGTAAGCGAATCTCTTGTAAGATTGGTAAATCTCTTTCCCCTTCATTCTCAAGAAAAGATGTCGCTCCTTGTATATAATCAACAAATGTAGATGTCAGCTTAAATGTCTCTGGGTTTATCACTCCAGCATTCCTGAAACACATGAACACAACAAGTAGAACCTTAGAATTGGAACACCTCTTCAAAGAGAACATTTTGTGAAGATGTGAACCCTTCAAGATTTGAATACTTTGATAAAGTTGCACATGTTTGATCTCCCACTGACTCCCATGGAATCCAAATCTTTTAATGTGAATACAGCCAATACGGATACTTCTAGTCAGTTCCAACTAGATAATGGCAACTCCGCGGAGTAGCAAATCCCAACGAACAAAATATCAACTAGATAACGGCAACTCCGCGGAGTAGCAAATCCCAACGAACAAAATATCAATTACTGAATTCCAATCAATTATAATTATTACTTTGGTTAAAATTGAAAAATTTAGATTTTAGAATTGCGAATTCCTGCAAAGCAGCCATTTTGAATTTTTTGAGGTACAAATCTGAAAAATAATACCATAATTGTGATCTACTCCAAAATTCCTTCAATTTGAGTATAATATAGCCATACTTTGATGGGATCGAAAAATTATTGCGAAATCGTACATTAGACGGCCATTTTGAATTTTACAAGGCTCGAATCAGAAAAAAAGATACAATATTTGCAATCTACTCTTAATTGCCTTTCATTTGAGTATAATAAAGCTATACTTCAGAAAGATCTGACCCCCCATACACGGCCCCTGCACGGCAAATATACTACCAAAATTTCAAACAATAATATTAATTACTTTGGTTTAGAATGATAAATTTATGATTTTTGCGAAAAAGTCCCGTCATTTTTAAAGTGGCGGCCATCTTGAAAATTTTTTTTGGCGTAAAACTATTCATCAATATACTTCTGTCCATCAAATATGAAGAAAATCTGTCAAATAGTATTTGAGTTATCTTCCAGACAGAAGGACGGATGGATGGACAGAGGGCTTCACTATATCCCTACCGAACTTCATTCGTTGGGATAACAATGTTTACATAAGAGTGTCTAGGTTTTATCAAAGATTCAGTATTTACCATTCTGACTTAACATTTTTACAACTTGATATTTCAAAGTTAAGTATCAAAAAGCTCTTCTGAAATTCTTAACTGAGTCATTGTACTTCAACGTTTTTAAAATCACTGCTTTCGTATTACTTGTTTAAATTTCTCTCAAAGGTTTTTTCAACAAGCAGATGCAAATGTCTCGCTTTAACAATTCTGCTCAGAGTTTGCCATTTTGCATGTTTTTGGTCAAAATATGCCATTTTGCATGATTTTGATTATAATATTCCATTTTGTATGATTTTGTGGTCAAAACATGCTATTTAGCATGTTTTTGTTTATTTTCAAGTGGGGGGATAAGGCCTCTCTTCAAAACCTCAAATGGGTGTAGCCCATAGCTACTTTAACATTGGAAATATTACTACTTGATACATCACTTAATGCTCACCTATGTGCAAATGATCCCCTAGCTGCTATACCATGAAAGATCCTAGCTAACTGCACTCTTAAGACATCTCTACGTCTCCTACGCCTCATGTTCTCCTGCTTCTTGTCTATAGCCTCTTTGATGTACTGTATAAGCTCATCTACTAGATCTCTGCAACATGGAAGTCATAAATTTAATAAATTCAAGTCATGTCTTAAAATACAATTTAGGTCACATGAGTGAAATTGACAAGAATGTTATGTTGCTATTTTATGGTGCTCTTGGCATATTTGACGTGAAACCATATTGTAGTGCAACTGCATTGATAAATTGTCCCAGTATATATACTATTTTAACCAGAACAACGCCATGGATGGCATTTTTACAAATAAAGTATAAAGCAAAAATGCCAGGCATCTTTCAAAATGGCCGCCTTCTACCAAAAGTGTCATTAGACCATTTGCCATACTTATAGTATTCACATACCACATATGAACAAAATCGCTCCACTACTTTTCGAGTTATAGTAAAATACATTAAAATGGTAGCCATTTTGAAAAATGGCCGCCTTCTACCAAAAGTTTCATTAGACAGTGTGCCATGCTTACAGTATTCACATACCAAATATGAACAAAATTGCTTCACTACTTTTCGAATTATCATAAAATGCATTAAAATGGCGGCCATTTTTCAAAAATTTTTTCAAAATGGCCACCTTCTACTAAAAGTGTCATAGGATAGCGTGTCATGCTTTTAGCATTCACATACCAAATATGAACAAAATCGCTCCACTACTTTTCGAGTTATAGTAAAATACGTTAAAATGGCGGCCATTTTGAAAAATGGCCACCTTCTACCAAAAGTGTCATTAGACAGTGTGCCATCCTTATAGTATTCACATACCAAATATGAACAAAATCGCTTCACTACTTTTCGAGTTATAGTAAAATAGGTTAAAATGGCAGCCATTTTTAAAATGGCGGCCATTTTTTAAAATGGCCACCTTCTACCAAAAGTGTCTTTAGACAGTGTGCAATGTTTATAGTATTCACATACCAAATATGAACAAAATCGCTCCACTACTTTTCGAGTTACAGCAAAAATCGTAAAATAACGAGTAAAGGCCGCCATTTTTCAAGATGGCTGCCAAGTGCTTCTTTAATATCTACATTTCTAGCTTCATTAATGTCCTATATAATTTTTTTACATCTAAAACATATTGCTTTTACAGTTTTACATATTGCACCTAAATTACTGTAAATTCGGCACTAAAATGGCCGCCATTTTGAAATGAGCAGCCATTTTGAAAATCTGCTTTCGAGCAGAACTTCTACACCCATAGGGTATATGTGTACAAAATATGAACAAAATAGGGCCAACGGTATTTGAGTTATTGCCCGGAAGGACGGACAGACGGACGGACGGACAGACGGACGGAGGCGTTCCCTCTATCCCTTCGATGGGATAAATACTGCTGAACATGAAATATAAATAATTCAAGACGAGGCATTAACATGCAAAATTTACCACCTACCATTTGTTACAGACACTGACCAAACACCGAATGCCAAACACAAACTGCCAAATACCAGGCACAAAAAGTTATATACCTTTTTAGGTATGATAAAAAGATATTTCATTACCTGAAAGACTCTGGATTGATCCTACTGAGCGCATCAACCACACTGTCTCTCATGTCTGTTGTTTCACACCTGATGTGCTGTGTGATCTGCTTGAACAGGTTGCTAGCATTGAATGACACTGGAGGGTTGGGGGTCTTCACCTCTGACCTCTCCGAGCTTGAACTCTCAGGGGATGAACTAAAAATAAAGATTCCCCATTTAAGTCATGGTGAATTGGGTGCCTTCACTCAACCTTTCAAATCTAGGTCAGGGGGCTGTTGTAAGCTGCCATTGAGTGGTGTGTCTTGAACTTTGACCTTTTGGAGCTTGAGCTTTCAGGGGATGAACTAAAAATAAAGATTTCCCATTTAAGTCATGGTGAATTTGGTGTCTTCACTCAACCTTTCAAATCTAGGTCAGGAGGTTGATGTAAGCTACTAGTGAATTTTGACCTTTTGGCACTTGAACTTTCGGGGGATGAACTAAAAATCAAGAAGGTTCCATATTTAAGTCAATGGAAGACTGGTGAAATGGGTGTCTTCATTCAAACTTTTTATTGCAGGTCAGGAGATTGTTAAAAGATTGAGTAAGGGGTCTTGACTTGTGAGCTTTTGAAGCTAAAACTTTCAGGGATGAAATAAAAACAAAGATTCCAAATGTTCAAGAGATTGATGTAAGATACTGGTGAGTCAGGTAACTTGACTTGATATTTTGGAGCTCAAACTTTCAGGGATTAACTAAAAGAAAAGATTAAATTAAAGACTGGAGATTGTTAAGATACTGGGGGTCATTAACAGAAACTTAGTAAAGATATGAATTCGTAAATCAATTGTTGTAACCATGGATATAATGACGTCACAGTTAGAGAACAATGGGTTTTATGAATTCTTAACTTTATGAAGCTTCTGTTAATGGCCCCCTGGTGAGTAAGATGTGACCTTTGACCTTTTGTAGATGAACTTTCAAGGAATTAACTAAAACAGAAGATTTAAATTAAAATATGGAGATTGTTAAGATACTGGTGAGTAAGGTGTATTATATATTGACCTTTGACCTTTTAGAGCTTGAACCTTCAGGGGATGAACAAAAATAGAAAATTTTAGATGAAAACCAGGAGATTGTTGATATACCAGTAAATTAATTCTTTTGACCTAATAGAACCCTAATAACTTAAGACCTCAGGGTATAAAGATGAAAGATTTAAAAAATTATTATACTGATAGTTCGGTTCTTTAATGTTTGACCCCTAAGAATTTCCAAGGGATGGTCAAAAAGGATGATCACATGGGACTTTGTCAAAAAGGTAAATGAACTTTAAACTGTCTAATTGATTTTGAATACTCAAAACTATTTAAAACACACACACACACTACTATTCTATTAACCTGTTGACTAAATACTTTTTTGACCCCAAAAGCTAATCCATTTGACCTTTGTAACAATATAACAAACACTGATAGGCAAATATGCAAATAAAAAGAAGGTAAGGTACAGTATTTACAATCCCCTCTCAAACTACCTCAACAACAACTGAAAACATGACTTGAACAGCAATAAATAAATAAATGATTGACATGATAAACAATGATTAAGTGGTCAAGATAAAATATACCAGTTAAAATGTTTTACCTGTTTAACCAGTTAATAATTAATAATGACTAATTCTAGTGCACAAGTTATCTTCAACTAAACTACTTATACTCGTATTTTGATATTTACTTGGTGCTACAATTTTTGATTCCTTTGAAAGAGTACTACAACCACCATCAATATTTCCAGAATAAGTTCGGGTTGATTCCCCATAGGCCCCATGTTACAAAATCACAAAAAGTGAAATATCTTGTATTGGACAGATAACATTTTCTTTTACTGGACATATCTTAATTTGCATGTCTATTAGATACATAAGGGTTATATGAAAATTGAACCACCAAAACGGATGTAATTTAAGTTAAAGGGAACTTTCTACCATACCCGCCCATGCTATCTAACCCGAACTAGCCACCTGATGCTGGAACTGTTAACTACATACTCGCATCTGTGTTATTCATATCCACTACATGTAAATGGGAATGTTTTGAATGATGTTATTTAACCTAATGTTCACTTGCTTAAAGTGCCATCTACTCGTGTAGAGTATCTGTGTGGGTTTTTTTTTAAAAATGAAGTAAAAAGACATAAAGACACCACAGAAAAATATCTAGAATGGTAGGAATTGATGAAGTCATTCAGTTTGCAATTGAGTAAAATCAATATTCAATCTATTGAGACCCCACGATAAAACATTGAACAAGAAAATATCAACCTGTCATAGAAACCCCCTACTCATAGATAATGCTTTAACGAGACTTATCTATTATTACCTGACATTAATTGTGGGCTGGTTTAAAACTTGCCAACTTATCTTTGATTTACATTCACCCACTCTTAATTTGAACATTGACAAATCTGAATCCTTTGCCCCTATTTTAAACAACCCACATATTATGTTTAATATTCAGACACTGAAATAATTCAGTAAAAAAGTCAACAAAGACGCTAACAAAATTTCATAATAATAATTCGTAGGAGTAGATTCATACATTAGAATTACATTGTAAATGAAAGACTATACAGTATACACTGTAATTCAAAACAATCTGTTTACAACATTTGTATCAATGTTGCATCACAACGACTAAATTTATTTGTATAATGGCACCTCTACAGATTAAGGCACAATATATTAGTACTATGGAACAAGATTAAAACTTAAATAATAAACATGAATTCAACCTACTTCAAACAATCTGTGATCAAATGGTCAGTGGACATAATGTTTTTTAATGTAATTAAACAATGACAACACAAAAAAAAGAAATCCCTGGTATAAACAGAAAACATAGGATGGGCAATTCAATCCAACAATGGAGACTGTCCATAGGAACATTCAGTGGGGGCCAGAAAGAGAGAACATTCCATTTGATAAAGATCATGAAATCTCCAACACAACCGCCACTGATACTACAGATACTAAAATTGCTTTTGATGATAGGAGGGGTTGAGCAGAATCCTGGTCCACAAACTCTGAAATCAGGTAATTATCAATTAGTTAAGGTGGGTAAATCTGGTTTAGTCTGTATACCCCATGAATCAAATGATACATCCCAAAGTCCCTCATTTCCACAATATGTTAGAAAATAACTAGGAAACTGGACCATGGAGCTCAATGGTAATATGATGAACACAAAGGCATTTGAAGAGGGCCCATAATCCTTGAAAGTTTTTAACCCAAAATCATACAGGTTGAGCCTAAAAAGGTAACCTGAACAAATGTTATCAATAAGTCATTCAGAATAGCGAAATTACACCTTGTTCAATATTCTTTCAATCTATCAAGTTTCTCTGGTATATCCTAAATGGTCACTATTTTATGGCTATTTTACAAATTATGTATGTATAAAGGCTCATGGGAAAGTACCAGAAATGGTTACAGAACACAGCAAGAAAATGTCCCCTCCCACACCATTAAAGTAACATTATCACAATATGAGACCATAACACCAAGGGACATTTCATTCATAGTGAATTCATTATAATATTTATAATATACAGGGCGTATAAAAAAAACGCAACAAGTAGTTATCTCGTAAAATCACAAAACTAGTGATGGCTACATCAATTTCATTCAATGTACCATAAAGCCACGTCTCTCCTCTTTGCAATGATATGTCATTCATTTACATGTGGTAATTGTTGGGTGAGAAATCCTTCCATTTGCACAGTGGGTCAACATCGGCTCTGGGCCAAGTTTTAGATATTGCAAAAATCAGTACGAGAGCTAAGTGCCAATGGAAGTTCCCCTGACTTGAATTGTTGTGACTTATTTCTTTTGGAGCTACCTCAGGAGCATCTGTGCTCACAATTCCTTCACCAGATATTGCAAAACATAGAGAAATAATTGCCCATGGGCTACTTTTCTCTGCTTTAACCAACAGATGACTCAAGGCTGAACCATGCATGACATGGACAGATGAGCGCACCTTTATGTGCAATGAAGTGGTGGCAATTTGGAGGGGTTATAGGATGTATTATTGCAAGAGTATGAGTATGAACACTTTACTGTCTATGCCACACCAGTCACACCTTCTTCTAATAGCCCCTATGCCCCTTGTACTGACTTTCGCAATGTTTAAAATTTGGTTCTGAGCTGAATTTTGCCCCACTTTGCAAAATTAATGATTATTCGGCCAGCCATGACTCCCTGTGAATGAATGATATTCCATTGCAAAGAGGAGTATTTTGGCTTTTTGGTACATTGAATGAAAATGATGCAGTCAGCATTGGTTTTATGTTTTCTTCCAATATTGCATCGGGCACCGTACACTGACTTTTGCCTTGCCCCAAGCTAATTTTGGCCAACTTTGCAAATGGAATGATTACTCGCCCAACCATGACTAAATAACAATGAATGATATATCATAATATATCACATATCATATAAGTGCACATAAAAGAACACAGGGCTCCTTCAAGGAGGAGTTTTTGGGTCTAACTTCCTGGTTAATTATGTAAATTACAATTGTATATATACGGGATATTCCCAAGAGGTGTTGGTCACCTTTATTGGGGGTAAACAAAATACAACTCACAGATGTCTTATGCAATGGCTCTCATCTTCCTTCTAATCTGATGCTTCCGGGGTAGTTAGTGCAGACATTTATCGTGAAATAGCCCCAAAGAAAAAGTCTGGGGGTTCAAATGGGATGGATGAATTTGGCATGTTTCAATATTTGGAGAACGCTTTGTAAAATGGCCAAAAAGTTGTGACCATTTGGAATAGACCAATGAATCTCAGTAGAATGAAAGAGTATTGAACAAGATTCAAGAATTACTAAATATAACTTTACACTCATGCTGGATGAAGGAGTTATTAACATTTGTTTGGGTTGCTTTTTTTGGGGATCACCCTGTTTATAGCTTTGAAATTAACCCACAGGTACTCAGAGATTGTTCCTCTGGACAGAGGTATCAAAAGGAGTCAAGCAAGAGATAAATGGACTTGCTTCTCTGCTCCAAGCTTTATTTGATGAAGTCCAAAATCAAACCCCTGAAATTGATTTCAAAGACTTATCCCAACTTAAAAAACAAGCATAGCACAGCCAGTCATTAGGAAAAACAAACTCAAATATGCCAAACATTGACCTTACATGTACATACATTGTATAAGGAAACCTACTTTTCTAATCATTGGGACTACCACAATCAAAATCCACAAGACCATTTGATAAATTAAGTATTTCTACTAAGTTGAAATCTATTGGTCCATTATCTCCCCAGTAAATGCTAAAATGAATCATGTTTTTCATATTGTACTCTTAGTTAATATTAAACCTACATGTACAATTACCACTTACACTTGAAGTGAAATATAAACACAAGTTGGGAACAGTAAAGTCCAAATTTAAATAATATTAGATGTAAACCACTGCATCTGATTTTTAATCAATCAATATATCTACATTCATACATTGTATTAACCTCCCTACATGTGTGACACATTCATCTTTCAGAGGTCACCAAAGAAATGTATGAACTTGGTTGCAAAATAACTGCATGTGACCAAAATACTGAGTCAAAGGTACAGGCCGACCTCATGTGTCAACTTGGACAAGAGTATATCAAATCAGCAGAGACCTCTGATATCTGGTATGAATACTATGTCTGGTCATCTGCATTATACAATGCAGCAAAATGTAGAATTGAGAAGCTTAATGGCAAACAATCTGATGGCACAGACACAACTCTTATCCATGACTTGAACCATATTGAACAACAGCTGCAGTTCATAGAGAATACTTTTGTGCAAAAGTGCTGTGGTGCCAAACATTGCACAGTCTTAACAAAGAGCACAACGCAGAAGTACAAAGCTGCATTGGAAAAGATAAGAGAGTTCTCTAACAGTACTGTAAATGACATCATCAGGAAGGATATGATAGTTGATGAAGTGACCACAGAGATGAAAGATGAAGATGAAGGCAACACTATACAGCACAGTAAAGTGTTCTATGATGGTCTTACACAACAGATTCTAGACTTTTATGGATGCATTATAAATGACTGTATCTCTCTGTTAGGGGTTCCTAATTGTAAGTTTGCAGTTTTAGCTCTTGGGTCACTATCTCGAAAAGAGGTCACTGCATATTCTGACATTGAGTGGGCAATGTTGTATGATCCTTTAAACAAACCAGTAGATCAAGTCAAAATGCAATTACGTATGATAGCTTATTATATGCATTTAAAGGTACTTAATCTAGGGGAAACCTTGTTAAACTGCTTAGATATCCCAGTCTTGACAGACTATAATAAACACCTTCCACATAATTTGAAAAACAATGACTTTTATGACTCTACTACAACCAGAGGAATATCATTTGATGGGACACAACCTTATGCAAGCAAGACAGCTATTGGAAGGAAATCTAGACAAGATCCTAAAAAGCCTTTGAAACTGGAACTAATCATGACTGTTAAAGAGATGAGTAAGTTTCAATTTAAGGAGGAATCACTAAAAGAGGGTTATCACCTGAGTGACGTTCTTATGTCTTCGACTCTCATCACTGGAGATCAAGCTCTATGGAAGGAATACAATGATAGAGTGCACTCTATATTGGCATTACCATCCACAAAAGTTAACAGATTCCTCATGAAGTCAGTGAAGAGGACACTGGGAAGCAAAACTATAGGTAGAGATCGTGCAATGAAAACACTGAAGGAAGATCTTGACAAATATAATAAAAACCCTCTGTCAGTTGAATCATTCACTAAGAATATACACACAAAGCATGATGTATATAGATTTGCAACGATCAGCATCAACATTTTAAAACTCATTCATGGCTGCACATCATTTGCTCCTCTAGATGTGTTAGAAGAATTACACCAGAAGGGTATCCTAACTGAAAGGGCAAAGAAAGATCTACAAATAATGGTTTGTTGTGTCATCAATCTTAGACACATGGTGTATGGTGAATATAAGCAACAGAAAGAAATCATATCATTCTTACAAAGTGAATCCTTGCAAAATGAGACAACAGAAGTAATGCCAGTCAGAAGTTTTACAGCCATATTACATTTTTTCAACATATTTATACCTTGGTGTGACTTTCTCACAACTAACTTAAATGTGAGTGGTGACTGGCAATATCATACAAGTTACATGGAAGAAAGTAATGAAGTGAAAGCAACATTATACAAGAACATTTTTTTCTTCGAGAGAGCATTGCATGCATATCAGACTGAGTTAAAAACACTTCAAAACCATGAATCAGAAGAAGAAAATGATCAAATATATAGCCTCAAAAGCGAAATAGGTCATCTATATCAGTCAAAAATGTGCTATGTAGATGCACTGAAATATTATTTCGATTGTCTTAACATAAGTAAAAACATCAATGATGAAAGTGGAATATCTGCATCATTGATAGATATAGGCACTGTGTATAGTAAAATGGGAGATCAGAACACAGCTCTGGAATATTACCTAGAGAATGTTAAAATGATGAGACAATTCCACCACAATAATCCTCATCCACATGTTGCTAATGCCCTAAACAACATTGGCATTGTGTATAAAATTATGGGAGAGAAGATTGAAGCACTGAAATACTGTCAAGAAAGTCTTGCAATGAATAGACTAATCTACAAGGATAGTCCTAACTCTGATGTTGCAATTTCACTGCACAATATAGGCAAGGTGTATAGTGCTATGGGGAATAGGACTAAAGCACTAGAATATTATCAAGAAGGTCTTGCAATGAAAAGGTTAATCCACAAGGACAGTCCCAACTCACATGTTGCTGTTTTCCTAAGCAACATAGGCAATGTGTATTATGAGATGGGGGATCAGACTAAAGCACTGGAGTATCATCAAGAGAGCCTTACAAAGAAAAGACTAATCCACCAGGACAGTCCCCACTCAGATGTTGCTTGGTCACTATATAACATAGGCAATGTGTATTATGAGATGGGGGATCAGACTAAAGCACTGGAGTATCATCAAGAGAGCCTTACAAAGAAAAGACTAATCCACCAGGACAGTCCCCATGCAGGTGTTGCTTGGTCACTATACAGCATAGGCTATGTGTATAATAAGATGGGGGATCAAACTAAAGCACTGGAATATCATCAAGAAAGTCTTACAATGAGAAAACTAATCCACCAGGACAGTTCCCACTCAGATGTTGCTGACTCACTATACAGCATAGGCAATGTGTATAATGAGATGGGGGATCTGACTAAAGCATTGGAATACTATCAAGAGAGTCTTACAATGAGAAGACTAATTCACCAGGACACTCCTCACTCAGATGTTGCATACTCAGTAAACAACATAGGTGTTGTTTACAATGAGATGGGGGATCAGACTAAAGCACTGAAATACTATCAAAAGAGTCTTACAATGAGAAGACTAATTCACCAGGACAATCCCCACTCAGATGTTGCTAACTCACTATACAACATAGGCTATGCGTATAATAAGATGGGGGATCAGACTAAATCACTGGAATACTATCAAGAGAGTCTTACAATGAGAAGACTAATTCACCAGGACACTCCTCACTCAGATGTTGCAGACTCAGTAAACAACATAGGTGTTGTTTACAATGAGATGGGGGATCAGACTAAAGCACTGAAATACTTTCAAGAGAGTCTTACAATGAGAAGACTAATTCACCAGGACAATCCCCACTCAGATGTTGCTGACTCACTATACAACATAGGTTATGTGTATGATGAGATGGGAGATCAGACTAAATCACTGGAATACTATCAAGAGGGTCTTACAATGAGAAGACTCATCCACCAGGACGGACCACACTCAATTGTTGCTGACTCACTATTCAACATAGGCAATTTGTATAATAAGATGGGAGATCAGACTAAAGCACTGAAATACTATCAAGAGAGTCTTACAATGAGAAGACTAATTCACCAGGACACTCCTCACTCAGATGTTGCTAACTCACTATACAACATAGGCAGTGTGTATAATGAGATGGGGGATCTGACTAAAGCATTGGAATACTATCAAGAGAGTCTTACAATGAGAAGACTAATTCACCAGGACAATCCCCACTCAGATGTTGCTGACTCACTATACAACATAGGTTATGTTTATAATGAGATTGGGGATCAGACTAAAGCACTGAAATATCATGAAGAAAGTCTTACAATGAAAAGGCTAATTCACCAGGACAGTCCCCACTCAAGTGTTGCTAATTCCCTAAGCAGAATAGGCAACGTGTACAATGATATGGGATATCAGACTAAAGCACTGAAATATCATGAAGAAAGTCTTACAATGAGAAGGCTCATCCACCAAGACAACCCTCACTCAGATGTTGCTTGGTCACTATACAGCATAGGCAATGTGTATAATGATATGGGAGATCAGACTAAAGCACTGGAATATCATCAAGAGAGCCTTACCATGAGAAGACTAATCCACCAACAAAAACTCCACTCAGATGTTGCTGACTCACTACACAACATAGGCTATGTGTATAATAAGGTAGGGGATCAGACTAAAGCACTGGAATATCATCAAGAGAGTCTTACAATGAGAAGACTAATCCACCAGGACAGTCCTTACTCAGATGTTGCCGACTCACTATATAACATAGGTTGTGTGTATAATGAGATGGGGGATCAGACTAAGGCACTGGAATATCATCAAGAGAGCCTTACCATGAGAAGACTAATCCACCAACAAAAACTCCACTCAGATGTTGCTTGGTCACTATATAACATAGGCAATGTGTATAATGATATGGGAGATCAGACTAAAGCGCTTGAATATCATCAAGAGAGTCTTACAATGAGAAGACTAATCCACAAGGACAGTCCCCACTCAGATGTTGCTAACTCACTATTCACCATTGGCAATGTGTATTATCAGGTGGGAGATCAGACTAAAGCACTGGAATACTTTCAAGAGAGTCTTACAATGAGAAGACTTATCCACCAGGACAGTCCTCACTCGGATGTTGCTAACTCACTATATAACATAGGCTATGTGTATAATGAGATGAGGGATCAGACTAAAGCACTAGAATACTATCAAGAGAGTCTTACAATGAGAAGACAAATCCATCAAGACGCTCCTCACTCAAATGTTGCTTACTTACTAGACAACATAGGCAATGTGTATTATGAGATTGGGGATCGGACTAAAGCACTTGAACACTATCAAAAGAGTCTGACAATGAGAAGAGTAATCCACCAGGGCACTCCTCACTCAGATGTTGCTGACTCACTAAACAACATAGGCAAGGTGTATAATAAGATGGGAGATCAGACGAAAGCACTGAAATATCATGAAGAGAGTCTGACACTGCTGAGACTCATCCACAAGGACAGTCCTCACTCAGATATTGCTGCTTCCCTAATAAACACAGGCCAAGTGTATGCTGAGATAGGAGATCAGATCAAAACCCTGGAATATAATCAAGAGAGTCTTGCAATATGCAGACTTATGAACAAAGACAGCCCGGACCCATTTACTGCTGCTTCTTTACATAACATAGGCTATGCATATACTAAGATGGGTGATCAGACTAAAGCACTGGAATACTATCAAGAGAGTCTTACAATATGCAGACTTATCAACAAGGACAGACCTAACTTATTTACTGCTGCTTGTTTAAATAACATAGGCAATGCGTATAATAAGATGGGGGATCAGACTAAAGCATTGGAATACTTTCAAGAGAGCATTACAATGAGAAGACTAATCCACAAGGACAGTCCCCACTCAGATGTTGCTAACTCACTATTCATCATTGGCAATGTGTATTATGATATGGGGGATCAGACTAAAGCATTGGAACATCATCAAGAGAGTCTTACAATGAGAAGACTAATTCACCAAGACAGCCCCCACTCAGATGTTGCTGACTCACTAGACAGCATAGGCAATATGTATTATGAGATGGGGGATCAGACTAAAGCACTAGAATACTATCAAGAGAGCCTGACAATGAATAGACTAACCCACAAGGACAGTCCCCATCTAGATGTTGCTAATTCACTTTTCAACATAGGTGATGTGTACAATAAGATGGGAGATCAGATTAATGCGCTAAAATATCATCAAGAGAGTCTTACAATGAGAAGACTAATTCATAAGGACAGTCCTCACTCAAATATTGCTGCTTCCCTAATAAATACAGGCAAAGTGTATGCTACGTTAGGAGATCAGATCAAAACCCTGAAATATAATCAAGAGAGTCTTGCAATATGCAGACTTATCAACAAGGACAGCCCCGACCCATTTACTGCTGCTTGTTTAAATAACATAGGCTATGTATATAATAAGATGGGGGATCAGACTAAAGCACTGGAGTATTATCAAGAAAGTCTTACAATGAGAAGACTAATCCACAAGGACAGACCCCACTCAGATGTTGCTGTTTCCCTAAGCAGCATAGGCATTGTGTATAATAAGATGGGAGATCAGACTAAAGCACTGGAATACTGTCAAGAGAGTCTTACAATGAGAAGACTAATCCACAAGGACAGACCCCACTCAGATGTTGCTGTTTCCCTAAGCAGCATAGGCATTGTGTATAATAAGATGGGAGATCAGACTAAAGCACTGGAATACTTTCAAGAGAGCATTACAATGAGAAGACTAATCCACAAGGACAGTCCCCACTCAGATGTTGCTAACTCACTATTCATCATTGGCAATGTGTATTATGATATGGGAGATCAGACTAAAGCACTGGAATACTATCAAGAGAGTCTTACAATGAGAAGACTTATCCATAAAGACAGTCCCCACTCAGATGTTGCTGACTCACTATACATTATAGGCAATGTGTATGATGAGATGGGGGATCAGACTGAAGCACTGAAATATCATGAAGAAAGTCTTACACTGAGAAGACTTATCTACCAGGACAGTCCCCACTCAGATCTTGCTGACTCACTATTCATCATTGGCAATGTGTATTATGATATGGGGGATCAGACTAAAGCACTGGAATACTGTCAAGAGAGTATTACAATGAGAAGACTAATCCACAAGGACAGTCCCCACTCAGATGTTGCTGACTCACTATACATCGTAGGCAATGTGTATGATAAGATGGGGGATCAGACTAAAGCATTGGAATGCTATCAAGAGAGTCTCACAATGAGAAGACTAATCCACCAAGACAGCCCCCACTCAGATCTTGCTGCTTCCCTTATGAGAATAGCCAAAGTGTATGCTGAGATAGGAGATCAGATTAAAACCCTGAAATATAATCAAGAGACTCTTGCAATATGCAGCCTTATCAACAAGGAGAGCCCTAACCCATTTACTGCTGTTTGTTTACATAACATAGGCTATGCGTATCATAACATGGGGGATCATACTAAAGCACTGGAATACTATCAAGAAAGTCTTACAATGAGCAGACTAATCTACAAGGACAGTCCCCATCGAAATGTTGCTGCCTCACTTAACAACATAGGTGGTGTGTACAATAAGATGGGTGATCAGATTAATGCACTGAAATATCATCAGGAATGTCTTCAAATGAGAAGATTAGTCCACCAAGACAATCCTCATACAGATGTTGCTGACTCACTATACATCATTGGCAATGTGTATGATGAGATGGGGGATCAGACTAATGCAATGGAGTATTATCAAGAGAGTCTTGCGATGAGAAGATTAATCCACAAGGACAGTCCCCACTCAGATGTTGCTGACTCACTATACATTATAGGCAATGTGTATAATAAGATGGGGGATCAGACTAAAGCACTGAAATATCATGAAGAATGACTTACAATGAGAAGACTTATCCACAAGGACAGTCCCCACTCAGATCTTGCTGACTCACTATACATCATAGGCAATGTGTATGATGAGATGGGGGATCAGACTAAAGCATTGGAATGCTATCAAGAGAGTCTTACAATGAGAAGACTCATCCACCAAGACAGTCCCCACTCAGATCTTGCTGCTTCCCTAATAAGCATAGCCAAAGTGTATGCTGAGATAGGAGATCAGATCAAAACCCTGAAATATAGTCAAGAGGGTCTTGCAATATGCAGACTTATCAACAAGGACAGCCCCGACACCTTAACTGCTGCTTGCTTAAATAACATAGGCTATGCATATGATAATATGGGGGATCAGACTAAAGCACTAGAATACTATCAAGAGAGCCTTACAATGAATAGACTAATCCACAAGGACAGTCCCCATCTAGATGTTGCTAATTCACTTTTCAACATAGGTGATGTGTACAATAAGATGGGAGATCAGATTAATGCACTGGAATACTTTCAAGAGAGTCTTACAATGAGAAGACTAATCCACCAGGACAGCCCCCACTCAGATGTTGCTGACTCTCTAGATAACATAGGCTATGTGTATAATAAGATGGGAGATAAGACTAAAGCACTGGAATATCATCAAGAAAGTCTTACAATGAGAAGACTAATCCACCAGGACAGTCCCCACTCAGATGTTGCTGACTCACTATGTAACATAGGCTATGTGTATAATAAGATTGGGGATCAGACTAAAGCACTGGAATACTTTCAAGAGAGTCTTACAATGAGAAGACTTATCCACCAGGACAGCCCTCACCCAGATGTTGCTGACTCACTATGTAACATAGGCTATGTGTATAATGAGATGGGGGATCAGACTAAAGCACTGGAATACTGTCAAGAGAGTCTTACAATGAGAAGACTAATCTACCAGGACAGTCCCCACTCAGATGTTGCTAACTCACTATACAACATAGGCAATGTGTATAATGAAATGGGAGATCAGACTAAAGCACTGGAATATCATCAAGAGAATCTTACAATGAGAAGACTTATCCACCAGGACAGCCCTCACTCAGATATTGCTTGGTCACTTTATAACATAGGCTGTGTGTATTATAAGATGGCTGATCAGACTAAAGCACTTGAATATCATCAAGAGAGTCTTACAATGAGAAGACTTATCCACCAGGACAGCCCTCACCCAGATGTTGCTGACTCACTATGTAACATAGGCTATGTGTATAATGAGATGGGGGATCAGACTAAAGCACTGGAATACTGTCAAGAGAGTCTTACAATGAGAAGACTAATCCACAAGGACAGTCCCCACTCAGATGTTGCTAACTCACTATACAACATAGGCAGTGTGTATAATGAAATGGGGGATCAGACTAAAGCACTGGAATACTGTCAAGAGAGTCTTACAATGAGAAGACTAATCTACCAGGACACTCCTCACTCAGATGTTGCTGACTCACTTTTCAACATAGGCTATGTGTATAATGAGATGGGGGATCAGACTAAAGCACTGGAATACTTTCAAGAGAGTATTACAATGAGAAGACTAATCCACAAGGACAACCCTCACTCAGATGTTGCTGACTCACTATACAGCATAGGCTGTGTGTATAATAAGATGGGGGATCAGACTAAAGCATTGGAACATCATTAAGAGAGTCTTACAATGAGAAGACTAATTCACCAGGACAGTCCCCACTCAGATGTTGCTGACTCACTTTGTAACATAGGCTATGTGTATAATGAGTTAGGGGATCAGACTAAAGCACTGGAATACTGTCAAGATAGTCTTACAATGAGAAGACTAATCTACAAGGACAACCCTCACTCAGATGTTGCTGACTCACTTTTCAACATAGGTGGTGTGTACAATAAGATGGGAGATCAGATAACTGCACTGAAATATCATCAGGAATGTCTTCAAATGAGAAGATTAGTCCACCAAGACCATCCTCATACAGATGTTGCCACTTCCCTCAACAATGTGGGTAATATGTATGCTAAGCTAGGAGATGAGACAAAAGCACTGGAATATCATCAAGAAAGTCTAACAATGAGAAGTCTTATCAACTAGGACACTCCCAATCCAGATGTTGCTTGTTCCCTATACAGAATATGTAATGGGTGTAGTCATATAAAATGGATGATCTGACTAAAACACTTGAATATCATCATAAGAAACTCTTACAATGAGAAAACTAATCAACAAGGACAGTCCTGATCTTGATGGGTCACTGTGCAACATAGCTTGGATTATAATGCATCGGGACTGTCCTGATCAGATTAAAGCACTAACATATCTTCAAGAAGGTCTTAAAATGAAGACTCATCTACCTGAACAGTCTCTATTCAGATGTTACTAGATCCTTGTGAATAATATGCACTATGCATAGATACATGGAGGAACATACTAAAGTAGTCTTCTTCGAAATACATGTACTCATAAGGAGATCATAGATAGGTTTATACAACAAATGTCAAAATTCCTGAAGCAACTGCTAAGTTCTTAAACAAAACTAAGGAATAAAACTGCACCCTTACCTTGACACCATGAAATCAAGAAAACCACACCACCCAAACATTGCGACCATATACTTTAAAAGCCTACTTTATATTTGATTATAGATGTTTATTCCACTCTGGCCAACAGAAATATTGAATTTGAATTATCATAGGTAACTGCATTTTTAATTCAGCTAAACAAAGTAATCTGAGAGTTCTATATAATTATAGAGTTGAGAGCCATATACAATAAATCACATGACATATTTTTACATGGGCTCCAACGGTGAGTCCAAAGCCACTATAACAAACATAATTAATTTTTGAAGTGAATTCATGCAGTTTCCTTCACTTTGAGGTGTGTTTGGATAGAGAGGTGTTAATATATACAGGTTTCACTGTATTTTGAACAAGAGTGGTAGTATACAAATTGTAAACATCATATTGGAACTCACACTGGAAGATTATCACACAGTGAAGACCAAGGACAGTCACTGGTGATCCACTCGATTACGCTGGTTACCAAAACGGTTCATTTTGGTAACAAAATGTCGGAACGTCGAAGGTACGATTTTTCTTTTTTCCTTATTTCACACGTTGTAGGTAGAATCCCAATGACATTTATTCCCACAAACATGTATCAGTATCATATGTTTTAGAAAATGCACATGTTTGCGGAAAAATAGCTTCAGTGTAATCGAGTGGATCACCAGTGACAGTAGCGGAATCAATTGGTGAATGATCTTGCGTTTTCATACTAAAGTTTGTTTTTGAGTTTTTTCTTATAGTTCAATGTATTTAAAGATATTTAAGAGACAGGGCCCTTTTTCTAAAGCCCTTTTTAGAAAAATAATTGAGATTACACAGGATACCTGTTATTTCTGCTTTTGAACACAATTTTAATAGAAAATTCAAATTCCAAACTCCCTGTCTCAATGGAGAATGGGAATTGAGCAACCAAACTTGGCACAAAGTTAGATCCTAGGATAAACTCTAATCTTAGGGCTTTGATTTTTTGTGATATCATATATTTGCCTAGCAACCACATAGCAACCGCCTAAAATAACATATTTTACAATATAAATCCACTTTATATATGCTAGGATCCTATAAGACCATTACAAAAAAAGTATTCTTATCCTAAAATACAACAATTTTAACATATTTACAGAAGTGACACCACCATGTTACATAGCAATAACATGGCAACAGGTTACATTGCCCATTTTGACATTTGCAGACCATATATCTATTATATGTTCACTGCTTTTGGATCTCTTCCACATTATTTCTTAACATAAAGAAAATGTATCGATGCAGTTATGTCTAACCATTTTCCCTAGCAACGGCTTGAAATTAAGGTTAAATTTGCCTAGTAACGACCTAGCAACATGTTAAAAATAGCAATGTTTCTCATAAGAATGTCACTATTTATCCACTATATGTACTTGAAGAAAATCAATATATATGTCTTTTGTAATTTATAAAGCTTTATAGTTACTCACTTAAAAATCTTAAGTCTCTTGTGTAAAGCATGATGGGACATGTCTTGTCTTACGCATATCAAATTGCAATTCATGTTTCAGTTCTGAGATAAAGTAAACACGAAATATTCATCACATTGATACTTGATACATTTTCAGCATTGATACCCCTAAGATAATACTTTATTTTGGTGAATTGCTTCAATTTCCTTTGCAGGTGCATAGTTCGATGCAGTAGAATGCACCATGGCATTTGCGGTTCCCTTTGCAGTCACATTTGGTACATCCACATTTAATTATGACTTTACATGCCTCAGATGCTTGCAACAGTATTTTCCATCTGGGTACGCACAATCCTGATGCGTTCCTAAACCATCCCAATAGACTTGGTGAAGGAAGAACTGGATCCAATATATACCATTGCCCCCATACATGTGCTTCTTGTCAAAAGGGCACCTGTTAGATCATTACATAAGTTCCATTGCTTGAAAACTGTCACCTTGCTATGATGGTAAAATCCAGATAAAATAATAATAAATCAATGTGTGCAGGGTGATGCAGGCGCAATACTCCATGAATAATGCGTATCAGTTCCAGTAAGGGCGTGGAACATTGGCAGCGTAGTGCTCAAGCAAATTCATAAATTGGAATGTAGGGTTAGTTTTGCCTTTTGAAAATGCTATGTAGATCTCAATCTGTAGCTCAGAGGCACAGGCTATTAGGCTATCACAACATTACTGTCCACCAATCTTATCATAAATGTCCTGCAACCTTTTCCGACACCATGGGATAAATCCAAAAACATATGTGTATCTGCCTCTTCCTGGGAGCAGGGACTATTATGGCACAATTAGCAGGATTACTGATGCACTCTCCTTCAATGGTTGAGACAAAGATTCTATCGTCTGCAATAATATGTCTTGTAACAGTTGCTAGTAGTGCAAGAAACTCTATCTTGTTGTCATTGTTTCTGAGAAATCCTATCCTAACACCAAACTACCAAGCAATTGGCAAGACTTTCTTGAAAGATAGAGCTCTTTGCACAATTCCTACATCCTTCAGCATCTCAAGTGGTAAAACTTGAAACTTTGAAATTAATGACTTGTATGTTTCAGCAAAGCCTAGATAGGATTTTAAGCTTTTAACAAGTATAACCTTGACCTAAGGATTTAATCAGTAAAATATGGTGTCTTGATTTTAAATCTATATACTATCTAGTATTTTGAACACGCCCTGCTGGGATACATAATCCCCATATGCTGGGTTCAGTGGAATATTACTATCCAAATGTGGAAAATTAACAATATCATGAGGCAGATACATATATGTTTTTGCATGTGTCTCATAGTGTCGAAAAAGGTTGCAGGACATTTATATACTGGAACTGATACCACATATGGACTTCATCTGGACCATCAATGCAAGGTGACAGTTTTCAAGCGATGGAACTTATGTAATGATCTAACAGGTGTCCTTTTGACTCTAGCAGATCACCCATCAACCGTAACAATAGAAGTTATGGGCACAATTATCCTGGTTCATTATCCTGGTTTACCAGCCTACAAACAGTGAGACAAATCTCAATACCATGCGTAGGCACATGTTCACTCATGACAGATGGATCCCGATACTGTAGAGTACCTCCAACATGCGATGCAGCACTCCAAGGAGCACATGTATGGGGGCAATGGTATATAGTGGATTCAGTTCTTCCTTCACCAAACCAATGGGGATGGTTTAGGAGCGCATCAGGATTGTGCTTACCCAGATGGACAATACCGTTGCAAGCATCCGAGGCATGTAAAGTCATAATTAAATGTGGATGCACCAAATGTGGCTGCAAAGGGAACTGCAAATGCCATGGTGCATTCTACTGCACCGAAACTATGCAACTGCAAAGGAAATTGTAGCAATTAATCCAAATAAAGTATTATCTTAAGGGTATCAATGCTGAAAATGTAACAAGGATAAATACGATGAATATTTTGGGTTTTATCTCAGAACTGAAACATGAATTGCAGGACTTTTGCAATTTGATAATCATAAGACAAGAAATGTCCCATCATGCTTTACACAAGAGACTAC